GCGCTTCAGTTTCACGCTTGATTATGCGTTTGCATGCACATAAAGGCAAAAGTCAAACACGGGACAAGCCCCGACCCTTCCTGCCTCAGCCCAACATCCCCTCTGATAACCTTTTCAGTATTATTTTGTATGCACGCATATTTACATGATTCCTGTCTGACAGGAGGTGTCAGGGTGGCAGTGGAAGCATTTGATGGCATTTCCAGCTGCAGATCAGCGGCGAAAGCGTGAGCAGCGTGCATTCCATTAAAGCTATGAGGGCTGTCTGGGTGCTGATAGAGGGTGGTCCGGGTGTTCCCTCACAATATGTTTGTCATTTTTCAGCATTTATGCGATGCCGGTTTCCGTTTTAATTGTACAGTTGACCTAGTCTCTGCAGAGTGTTAATGTGTACGAATTTTGAAGTTTCGTGTATGATATCGCTTTCAATTAATCGAGCTACTAACTGATGTAGATAATGCGTAATTGCAAAATTGTATTTGCTTCTTTCATTTCACGCAAAGAACTAATATACATACATGTATATATATGTACAAATGAATGATATATTTATCCAAGCAGATAAAGTAAGTTTAAATTTTTAACTTTAAATATTTGATCGTAACTCACAAAGGTGTCATCCCCATTCCATTCCGGATCAGAATGACGATCCTATCCTATTAAACTTATCTCGTTGAAGCGTTGTGCATTTCTTGTTTTGTTGCACTAAGAAAATAAGTCGTGTCCGAAAGTATAGAATTACTACATAATAGTTTATCTGCCATAGGAACACGATTGAGGAAATGGAAATGGCTAGAACGTGAAGCGTCTCGGCTCAATATTTTAGAGGATTACGACAGTGGGGCTAAAATCATTTGACTGAATATGACTAAATAAAATGGATGGTTTTATTTGGAATAGAAGAAAATACAATATTTTTAGATCTGATAAAGTTTTAAACTGTAGTTTGGTAGCTTATCAAAGTAAATGAAGAGCTAAGAACTTAGGTTAAAAGCTATATGATAGTTATTTGAATCTTGTATTTACAGTCCATTAATGAAATGTTTTTAAATGAACAATGGGAATTTCTAAAGTCTATTTTTCATCGAGCTAATTCTCACTTTTCATTCGCGTACTTGACCCCCCGAGGCACTTTAATGAGAGCATACCAACTAGCCCTGAGTGGAATCTCATACCAACCGTTGTCAGGCTCTTATTTTTTTGTTATTCCTTTGTTTTCGCCTCGTCTTTCTTTAATTATAAAGCTACACGAACACTTTTCAAACACATACATATCTATAGATGTGAACGAGTATACAGAGGTTTTTAAAACACCACATCCAAAAAAAAAGCTGTATTGCGAAGAGGGAAGGCCGGAAAAAAAAACCATATTCCCATTGGCATCAAATTGTCTGCACGACAAGGTAACACAGTATTAAAAATTTCAGCACCAGCAGCAAAATGTTCTGACCAGTACTCGTCTGAGATACTCTACCTACCGTCCAGACTCTCTCTAGCCATCAACGACGACCATGGCAACCCAAGCCGCTTAACGCAGCCAACTGCCAAATGTAAATATACTCCAACCCCAGCTTGGCAGAAAACCGACAAAAAAATATAAAACTTTCTTAATAATACAACGAGCACAAAAAAGCCTCAGCACCAACAGCAGTAGGGGCAGCGAGCGAGAAGCAGCTCGGTCCAAGGCGACGCAGACCCGCGAGGAAAATGCGCATTGTTTTCAGCTTTTCAGCGCCCATCCAACAACCGAAAGCGGAAAAGGACCCTGGCTGGGGGGCCAACATTGGGAACTTCAAAACTTTGGCCATATCCCGCGGCTATGAACAACAGCAATCAATTTTCACATGCCGGCAAACAAATGTGCCGCACCGGGATGTCCCACAGCCCATCCTGAAGGCAGAGGGGTTTTGTTCAGACTGGCAGAGGTATCTGGGTAACAGGGTGCAAAAGACTATAGAGGAGGAAATAGATGAGATTTGCAATGCAGCATCGGCTGGGCAAACATCGGACATTCGAAAGCGGCGGTGAGTACGTTTCTTTGCACGACGAGAAGGGAGATCCCAGCTTGAGAATCCAAATTAAAGATCAGAAGATTTTTATATGCATACATATATGTATATGTAAAATTAACACATATTAATAATCGTTGAACATCAAACCATATTTAAACTAATTACAAATCTAATCCAATGCAGTAAAAAAAACACTGTTCACATAACATATACATAAATATAATGCGAGATTATTCCTAAACTTCTTCATAAACTAAATCTAATAAAAAAAAACATACCAGCTCAAACCCAATAATCGCCATCTATACCAATGGAAAAAAGGGTTCTGATGACGATTTTTCATTTCACAGTCAACGCTCAACATTTTGTCCTATTTCCTATATCATATGCTCCGACTACCATATTGGCCAAGCGCTTCACACCGAATCGAAATCGTGTCACTAGAGAGGAGTGGGGGGTCTCCTTACGTTGATTAATTTATCGTTTTTGCGCCATTTTCTATTTGTCTTGTGCGATAATTACGACAAGTCCATGTCGAAAATGGATATCCAGGCAGCCGCCGCCCAGCTTCCTGCAACGCACCCAAGATAAACACGAAAATTCCGGAAGAAAGAATCGCGGACAGTCCGGTGTCTTCTTCTTTACACTTTGGTGGACGGACTACATCCGGTAATTGAATCAAATGAAGCAGACTTAGTATTAGCTTCTTATGGTCGGTATCGCTCACGAGCTTCTTCCTCTGGCATAACTCTGTTTATTTTTGTAAATTAATTTTTAATTTAATGTACGTGTTGTGGGCGAGGAGACGCGCTAGTTTCACGCCACGATGCTCAGATCTGAAGCTGGAGCGACCGGAAGTTGGCTGGAGTAGACGGCTCCCACCCGGCAAGCCAAACAGTGCCGAAGGAAAAGCAAAATGGAACGAAACAAAACTGAAAAGCCAAACAGGGACGAGGATGATGATGACGATTGAATGCTCTACCAGCACATTTTTAACTCTAGTAGAGCTGAATTTAATCGACACAAGTCAGATCATTTAAATTAAACGATGAAATTCTGTTAAGAATATTAAAAAGAAGAGTACGAAAGCACTGAATTCCATCGAGCCAGAACCCGAATACTTTTGAAGTAAATAGACTTCTTCCCCACCATCTACCAATCTACCACCATCTTTCCCTCTCTCTGTCTACCTCATCACTCACCATCAAATAAAAAGTAAAAAAAACAGTTTTCCGCTGGTCAGCAGGCTAACGAAAAGTACAGATGAGTGGAACGGGAAGGTGGTCAACAGCATACTAGTAAAGCGAAAAGACGACGAAATACTTTTTCAAGATAAACGGAAACGAGCCAAGATGGAATTAATTTTCCGCTTTGAACAAACAAGCGGATGTAAATAAAAAAGTATATATATGTATATGTACTTGTACCAACACAAGAGGATAAAGAAAAAAGCAGTACCGGGAATCAGCAACAACCTAGAGAAACCAGCGAAGACATCGCAGCCAAAGTCAAAGTCAAGGGGAATGGGGTGTACAAGGGAGAATGTAGTAGCTAAAGAGAAGGCGTCGCCACAGCTGAGACTGTGCTCCTTGTTGTTTATCATTGGTCTGAAGGTGGTGGTGAAGTTGAAGGTGGTAGAAGGTCGACCAGAAGCTAGAATATCTGCCAAGTTTAGTCTGGACAAGGGGCTGGTCCTACGTTATGTGCTGTTAATTCCTGTACAAAAAGTTTAATTCTGTGGCTCTCTAGACAGGTTCCGGAGTCTGTGCAGAGCGGGGAGGAGCAAAATCCTGGGGAGAAGAATGGGCGTGGGCATGTGGTACTGCTACACACACGTATATTGACAAATTGCAATTTAAATAGACAGCAATAAGTTAAATACACACACACACGCACGCATTAGGAAAGGGAGGCGCATAAATTGGGGGGTCATATTAGGCTAGGGGCAGCCAAAAACACGCCATGGCTAATTAGTTTAGCACAGTGCTGGGTGAGCGTCTAAGGGAGGACAACAGAGGCCGGCGGCTCAGATGCTAGAGATGAGCAATCATTGGGAAAAAGATAATGTGTTAAGGGAATAAACAAATATGTAGAAAGGGATGGCAAGAACAGAAACATAATAAATGAGTGAATATGTGGATACAGAGGGGGCTGCATAGAGAACTAATGGCGGACGACTGTGACTAATTTACTTCTGGGACATTACCATACATGCTATAGATCCAAATGTATGAATGTGTTAAATGTCTCTTGTAAAATTAAAACTATTGACACTACATTTCCGTCAATCATACATACCTTATACTACAATCAAATAAACATAATTAAAATTTCATTAGGCCGTTTCTATTTGAAGGGAATTTTAAAGGATGTGTTTTTACTACTGAGATCAAAACATATGAGTAAATCATACCTGTTATGTGGTGACTCCTCAATAATATCAATTTAAGGAGTCTTTCGAAGATACCTTCCCCTCTTGTCTCATCATTAAAAACTGAAATGTATTATTTGTTTGATATATCAAAAACCAGCCAAAAACACAATTTTAACCTATGTGGATTATAATTTCCTACATATACATACATACATACATGTCTATGTGCCCTAACCCAATCAAATTTCAGTATCGTATCTCATACCATCTCTAGATTCCACTCCTACTCCTTGCGTTTGCATGATAATACAGCTCCTTCCTAAATACATCAAGGCATTTTACGGGCAACTCCACGCAACGCCATTTCCTTTCATATAAAACACAATAGTTGCTATTTACTCCACTAGTCTGAGGCGGTTTTTGTTCGTGCGTAGCAATTATTGATGGAAACATTTACGCACACAAGCATTTGAAATTAAGGATAGGGCAAGACAGATGCACAGATGTGTAGAGCATAAGTAGTAATTGATGGCTTTCCTTTATGGGAGCATCAATCATACGCCAATTGTTTGGCATATCGACCAAACAATTGGCATCCAGGTAAAACACATAACTCTATATAACTTTGCATAGAGCATGGCTGATATTGCAAGTAGTACCAGTTATGTCTTTATTTACTAACGCAGCCTCGCACTCTTTCATCAGTATATTTTGTATACAAATCTCACGTGTGGACCTGATTTGCGGTGTCTTCAGCTGGCTTTTGTTGTAGTTGTTTCTATTTTGGTCGACAAACTCTGTCGCTTAATCCAGCAGAGAATATTAACCCAAATCAAGCCGCAAACGCCCATATAGATGACGCGAAAGCGTGGCGCCACCAGGGAAAAATTCAGAACCTGAACAGGCAGCCAGAAAATACAGGAACGTACAAAAGTTGGCACAAACTTCTCTCGCAATTCCAGAAGAATATCCTCAGAGCCCTCCATGATGGACATGCCTGAAAGATAAAGTATTTAAAGTAAATAGCAAGTCTTTAGAAAAATATTGGAAAATAAGCTTACCCGCATAGAAAATGATCAATAGATAAGGCGTAAGTATGAATTGATCCAGTACCAATTTCCTAATAATTATGGTCTTAGTGGTACCAGGAAAGGTGCGATCTAACCATTTATACCTAAAAAGGGGTTAACAATTACCATTAAAATGGTTAAAATTTTAACTGATATTATAATATTTGCATAACAAACATTGCTAAATACGTTTGCGTGTGTGTGTATGTGCAGAGTGTTAGTAAGTGTCATTTTTATGAATGGTCTTGGTGTATACCAACACATACATGCAATCTATTGTGTTCTGTTTCAGTGTTTGCTGTGGATTCACCTAAATTTCCATCATTCTCCACTTACATTATATGTCGTGCAGGTGCTTGCCTTTGGTTGAAAGCTTTTTCATCTCTTTTTAAAACGGTGCTTTGGTGCGCTCATATGATGAAGAGACAGAACGAACGAAGCTTTCCAAAACAGTAAGCAAATTGATAAAGTCTCGAACAACAGCGATTTATGGCGGAATATGTAAAGAATGCACATGTAAATATGAGTCAATTGAATGATAATATGATATGGGGTCGTTATGTACACATGTATGTATTCTAATTCAGATGCTGTTGGACACAAACCAAGCATATAATGTTGGGGCATATACAGCGGTACCCATCACTGCGTATCTTCCTATCGTTGCATAATCGATATCCCCACGCTCTGCCTCAGGCTGCAAGACACATAAATCTCATTAGAAATCTCTCTCCGTTCCCCAATACCGCCCGCGCCCCAATTACTTACCGCCAGCCAACGTTTGGACAGAACCTGCTGCGAGTACTCGGCCCCCACATACAGGCTGCCGTAGATGGCACTGTTGGTCACAAATGGATAGCGACGGAAGATTCCACGAGCTCCAGCAACAAAGCGAGCCATCGTCACTCCCTGTTTTAATTTAAGTCTCTTTTATTTGTAACAATTGAGCTGTGGCTGTGTAAATTTCTGCGACCAGCCGCGAGCGCAGTTGAAGCTCAACTGTTACAAAATACAGCTGGCGAGCGAGAGAGCCGAATAGCGTGCTGGAGAGCGAATACATTTGAATGCAGGAAATGAAATAAAAAAGTTCTTTTAGGGTCAAAATATGTACGAGTTTATGGCGCTCGTTGATTTGGAAAAGCTTGGCAATGCAGTTAATTATATTATAGTACTGGGAGAGCGGCTTATCACCTAATAGAGATAAGATAAGATAATATATATATATATAGATACTAAATAGCAATAATAATAATAAATACAAATTAAATCTACTGTAAAAATATAGTAATATGCGAGTAACATGGAAGTAAAAAAAAACTCTCAAAAAGCTGAAATCTTTAGAAGCTATTGCTCAAAAAATTTCAAGTTAGCTCGTAGCTCATTTATTATATAAAAAAAAAAAAATTTTATGAATACTTATTGTATTCTTATGACGAAATGGGTATCTAGGGCATCAATCTCGGAAGATATTTTTCCATCTTAGCTTACTTTAAAGCATTAAACATCATTTTGATAATGATAACTAACAACAAAAATCCCGTATGATATCCACCTTTATTAAGGACATGCAACTTTAAGTCGCTCCCTCTTTCGCTCAGTTGAACAGAGAAGAAAAAGTAAGAAACAACAAAACTTTTTCGCATAAAAATGCAGTAAGTATATCAAGTCTTGGAAAACCCTTTTTGCCTAATGGCAATTTACGCACGACTAACAAACGCACTGCACAGTGGATATAGTGGAGAGAGGAGAGGGAAAGAGAGTAGGGACTCCCAAACATTTGCGAAACGTACAGGAAGGAGCCTCAGAAACGACAACTTTGATTGAGTGTCCGGGAAACTGGAGGCAGAGGTGTTAAAACTGAAACCAATTTAAAAGTTGTGCCGAACCATATGGCAAGTGAGCTGAAGGGGAAATAACTTCACTGTCTTTGTAGCTGTGTATGTTGACATAAGTAGGCACAGGCACAATCACATGCTGACAAACCAGATACAGTCAACACACACGCACCGACCTATACTAGAATCACCCAAAGTCAGGTGACAAAGCGGAGGACCCAGGATGAACCTGAGTGCCATAGTCAGGAGTCTGCGCAAAGGTTTGGGGCTGGGATCAAGTGCATCGAAGCAGCAGCCAGCAAATGATGAGCAGAGTCGAATCTCTGTTTCCACGTCCAGTTATATTTCCAGCTCAAATTTCTCCAGCGAGGACGAATACGAAAACACTTTAGGGAAAAATCGGTTGCCCATTTCAGTTTCCCAGCTCAATCAATGCCGTCATCCCTGCAAACAGATTATCGAGCAGATCCTCTATCAGGTCAGTGAGCTGGAGCACACGTTCTACGAGGATCAGCAGCAGGAGTTTAAGCTGCGCATGACCCTGGAACGACAATCAGACAGAATTCAGGAGCTTCACTTCTCCCTGGACACGGAGAAGCAGCGCAATAGCCGACTTGTGCAGCTGGTCCGTGGCATGGAAACCTCGGGCGAGAGTGAGCCGGAGGAGAGGATGCCAAATGGATCCCATGTGAAGTCTATTGGAGATCTTTACGAATCTATTAGTCCCCTGCTCATGCAACAACGGTATGTACAGCTTGAATAAATATAACACAAGTTATCAATGTCTCCCACAGCTATGATGAGCTTTCTGTTTCGCATCGCCAGAGTCGCCGACAGCTGGCCAGAAAGGAAAAGGCCCATAGACTCCTCAAGTGCGAGACGGAGCAACTTCAGGCCAAATACGACCATCTCTTCGATGAGTACCGTAACGAGCAGCGCCGCGTCGAGACGCTCTGTTCCAGGTTCCTTCAAATACACTCAATAAAAAAGAAGCAGATTCACAATCTGAAGCAAACTTTGGGCTATGCCAGTGACTGCATCTACCATGCCCAGGTGGTTATCGAGGATTGCTCCCAGCGGCGAGGTTCGAGTATTGCTTGTGAACCCTTTTATAACTTTCAAAAGACACTGGAGAGCTTTATGGATTCGTTGCGTAACTGTGACTGCTTGCACAAACTTAACGAGCTCCAAAAACAAGAAACAGATAGAGGAGAAGAGTTTACCTCCAGGACCTAAACTCTGGCATTGGCCGGTAATAAGAGAGAAACTTACTAACATTGAAATTGTTGTTAACCGTTATTAACTACTTGGTGTTAGATTAATATCCAGACAAAAAAAAAATGTTTGATTAGACTAATGAATAATATAAATGTACCAAAAATATGTTCACGTAAAAATAAAAGCCAATTTAAGGTAGACAATGTATTTCACATCACCTTTTCAATTCATAAATTTCAGTCACCTCAACGACTTTTTGGAAGTTAAAAAAATGTGGCAGAATCGAGAGTTGCTATCTTGGTAATAAGGTCAAGTTAATAAGTCCTAACACATAACGTTTGTCTCGGATAAAGTACATACATTAAGAAGCGTTTATCTTCTCGCACTGTCTCATTAGAAGAAGTTTCCAACCCCATAAATTATATAGTACATTATCATGTTTTACAATATACAAGTTGTTGTACTTTAGAAATGTCCGCATCGTATGCCGATAAGCTCAGATACTACGTAATATATGTACATATGTATGTGCAATATTAAACTGTGACCTCACACTAATTTTGTTTCAAGTAAAATCGTTATGCTTGTGTCATTCACAATTTGAAGGTACGAAAGACACAAAATAATGATTAATTTCATCTATGTACTCTACTCACTTCGGGTAGTTTTTAAAGCCAAATAATCATCATAAATACCCGAATTTTTTCGTCGAATTTGTAGTGTTCGACGAAAATGCGACTATGGCGAGCCATGTTTGTTGGATGTCCGAAACCAAGCAGATACAAAATGTATATTCCGACGAACGAATTTGCCTGCATAATCAACTAAGTAATATTCTCCATTTTCAAAGATTGTTACTAAAACCTTTTGAACATTTAAGGCCAGTACTCCTAGAAACACCTGTCAATTGCTAACGATCGAATGCTATCGTCGTAAAATAACCTTTGCTTGAAATTTACAACACCGATGTTATTCGAACCGAAATCATCAGAAAGGAAATTTTACAACAAAAACAAAAATGTCGCAGAGTAAGCCCAAAAGCGGCAGTATTGCGGAAAACAAGCGGGAGGAACAGACACAGGAGTCTCTGGGAAGTGGGGACGTTTTGGCCGAGGGCAAACCCGATGCGACCCCCAATACTTCCATTATAGTTGAACACGCTGATTCAGCTGGAGGAGGTGCAATACACGAAGAGATAAGACCAGCAAAGGACGTAACTATTTACAATGCCTACAATATGGGACCAGCTTTTGGCAACAAGTTCCCCTGTCCATACATACGCTACATACTGCAACGAGTGCTTACGGAGAGACTGACTAATAAAAGTTATGCTGCTTCAGATGCTGTGAAGTGGACCCGAGAAATAGCCGACGATATCAATATGAAGATGAAGGGACAGGGCCAGTACCCGCGATACAAGCACGTTGTCAACGTAATGCTCTATCAACAGAATGGTGGTGGCTGTTTCTATGGGGCTCGTGCTATATGGGATCTACTCTCAGACGATTATGTTAGCTATGTCTTCGACGGTGGTAGTTTTGTTTGTATTGCGAGCGTATTTGGTTGTTATACGTATTAATTTAGGCACAGAAGTATTAAACATTAAAGTTGTGACGTTATTTTTAGAATTTTTAAAATATTAGGTGGAGATGGCGTCTGTGACACGCAATGTTTGCACTGCTCAAAAAATCTGTTGAGTGCAGCGATGTATGAGAGCTCGGTATGTCGTAGTAAAGAATCCTTATTTTCCTCAAATCTCCAAAAACTTCCTCTCCAAAAATGTTTACGTACCAGCAGAATGGATCTTCCCAGTCTCCCGATCGTCAAATTATGATGATGTATTCCACAAGAAAAACTTGTTTTTGACGGCCAAATGTTAAATGTATCCTGGTACCTTTAATATCCAATGCTGACCTAAGCATTCTGGGCATAAAAAAAAGTTGGAAAATCATGACGGAGAAATTGTCATCGATAAACCATAAAAAAACCCAACTATCAGAGAAAATTGTCATTGTCATTGCATGCTAATCGATCTGCTGATAGTTTTACAGCCCCATTTTTCAGGTTGCCTCATCCGTTTTATCGCTGTTCGGCTCGACTATCAAGAGCTGCGAAAAATACCATATATATCTAGTTTATTTGAATTAAAGCCAGTGGCGTACCTTAATTTATCTGGGCAGAGCTGATTTGGTTTAAGTCAGGACAAATACGTAATCGTCATCAGCTCCACTAACTGATTGTTATTAACACACCACATTCTCCCGCATTTTCTGAGATTGCCTTTCGCTTAGACCATCTTGTGTGTTCCTGCTAGAACCATATTCGGCGCCCAGTTACCCATTACCCTTCGACCCTCAAAAATATACCGTAATATACCAAAAAATTTATTGAATATTCTGTATACCGATATACCATAAATCATCAGTGCGTAAACGAACTTAACCCACTAAACCTCCCTCTATTTAATTACCAAGTTTTACGTCGACAATAGGATTAAGTTAGTTTTTATTGATTGGAAATTTTAATTTGAAAATCATATACCCTGACTTGGATATTCGCCTTAACATTACTTGCTTGCTAGGCGCTTCAGCACTGAAATTAGAATTTAATCTGTAGGTGAATCAATTTTTTAACAATCTAGTTTTTCTAAGGACTGCCCTTTGTATTTTATTGTTAATAAAATAAGGTTTGAACAAAAAAGGTCAAAGCATAAAACGTTTACGTTTACGTGTGCTCGGAATGTGACGTGACTGTTTTGGTATATTTCAATTCAAATTTTATCGGTAAGTCCGCGGTCCGTCCGGTCACACTGTTCACTTGCGCACATGTTTAATGTTTGTTTTCTTTTGCATTTGTTTCCATTTACGCCGCAATTAACGTAAATAAATGCTAACATGAAGGTCAAAATGATAAGTCGCAACCCGGACAACTATGTCCGGGAAACAAAGCTGCAGCAACACAAACGTGAGTCCACAAATAGTAGCCAGCCAGATCCTTAATAAGTTTATCTGGAAATTTAAGTGCCCCGCAACTATGATCCATCACTGCATCCACTGGAGGGTCCCAGGGAATATGTGCGTGCACTGAATGCCACCAAACTGGATCGCGTCTTTGCCAAACCTTTTGTATGCAATTTGAGTGGACACCGCGACGGAGTTTCATGCTTTGGCAAACATCCCAAGCTGCTGTCCGCGCTAGCTACTGGAGCCTACGACGGCGAGGTGCGTATCTGGGACTTGGCGAATCGCGTGAGTGCCCGAAATTTCGTGGCGCACAATGGATTTGTGAGGGGAATCGCGTATGCGAAGAATGGAGAACGTATCTTCACCGTCGGCGATGATAAAACCATTAAGGTTTGGAACTCACAGGCACCGGAGGTGGGCGAGGAAGAAGAGCCGGTCAACACAATACTGAGTCGATATGGTCTGCATGGCATTTCGCACAACCGCAAGGATAACAGCTTTGCCACGTGTGGCGAGGTGTGCGCCATTTGGGATGAGCAGCACAATGATCCACTGAAGACGCTTAAATGGGGAGTGGACACCCTGCACACGATTTCGTACAATCCTGTTGAGACCAATGTGCTGGCCTGCTGTGCGAGCGATCGTAGTATCATCCTGTACGATCAACGTGAGGCTCAACCGTTGCGCAAGGTGGTATTAACTATGAAGAGCAACAAGCTGGCATGGAATCCCATGGAGGCGTTCAACTTTACAGTGGCGAATGAGGACTGCAAGTAAGTGGTGGGAGGGTCAATTGGGGAAGTCGTATAGACCTTAATTAATAACTTTCATTGCAGTCTCTATACCTTTGACACACGTAAACTTCAAACTCCTCTAAAGGTGCACTTCGATCACGTTTCCGCCGTAACCGATGTGGATTATGCACCCACGGGGAAAGAGTTTGTCTCGGCCAGCTATGACAAGACAATACGCATCTATCATGCCCATCAGAGTCATTCTCGTGACATCTACCACACCAAGCGCATGCAGCATGTGGTCTGTGTTGCCTGGTCTTTGGATAATAGATATATTTTCTCTGGCTCCGACGAAATGAACGTGCGCATGTGGAAATCTAACGCATCGGAGAAGTTAGGAATCATTCGCCCAAGGGAACGTTCCAATTTCAACTATCAGGAGGCCCTCAAGGAGAAGTACGCTGCACATCCGCAAATCAAACGCATCGCACGTCATCGTCAAGTACCGCGCCATGTTATCAATGCCCAGAGAAAGATGCGTGCGATCAAAGAGAAGGACCAAGTGAAGGAGGCCAATGTGCGAAAGCACTCCAAACCCGGCAAAGTACCCTACGTCAGCGAGAAGAAGAAGCATGTACTGAAGGAGGAAGTCTAAATACGTTTACAAACCATTTAGTTAAATAAGTAAAACAGTAATACGCGAAGGACCATACCATGCCATTGATAATGAAAAGAATGTAACGAATAACAAAATATATTTGGAAACGATAAGCCCAAGCGGGCGATAACGATAACAGCTGGGGGAAACGTGGCCAAATGTGGAACATTTTTGTTTATAAAAGGGTGACAGCCCTGCCAGTGGGAGCTCATTGTTACGGTGCGGTGCGGTGCCAGTCGGTCGTTAAGTTTTTGTTTGATTTGTTTATACTCGCGAAGACTCGCTTCGCCTCTTTCGGCTCGTACGCAAAACTCGTTTACGTTTGACACATAAAACCCCATTAAACATGGAAGCACTAGGCGATCTTTTGGCACCCCACAGTGAGCTCATTGCGAAGGTAGCCGGCACAATTACTACCATGCAATTTCTATCCGGTGTCGTTCTCATCAACGACATCCGTAAGAAAGGCAGCAGTGATGTTTATCCAGTCGGACCGTTTCTAGGCGGCGTGGTACTGTAAGTACTTGCCCATGCACAGCACACACTGCCATTGAGGAGTGCATCTGTGTGGGCATTGATTAAATTTTTGAATTGTCGCCATGACACCGCAGAATCGGTTCGCTCAAGGACGCAACTAAAATCGCTTTACGTTCTATTAAATAATACAAAAATTGGCGATTACATCACATGCAAATGAAAGCGGAACACTGCTCCGATTATCTCAGTCAGTCAACCATTACAATTTCAAATAATTTCTTTTGACCTTGTCATACAAGAATCTGGCGTTGCTTATCGATGGCAAGCCCCAGCCAACACGTAGCGCTTATCTAAGCGTAGTTATAATTGTAAAGTTCTGACTTATTATGCCGATCTGTCAGTCTGCTCAATGGGGGATAGTCGGACGTCGCTAATCGCTTATGAGACAAGCCCCGATAAGCGACTCTCCCACCCCACGTGCTCGGAATGAGAAATCAGAGTGGGTCTCTCTGTATGCTCGGTGGTATTGGTAGGTAACCATGTACTGTGTCAAGGGCAAGGACGCACAGACATGCAACAGTTGGGTAAATATAGCTGCAATACTGCAAGGTGTAGCTAGGTCAATGTTACCTTGTGGACCTGTGTCGTTTAATTTCACCCTACTCGAAAATATTTCACCACCGTGGAGGCGTTTGTGATAAAATATTGCTGATTATTTTTGTAGCCGACTTTTAATGTTATCAGTAGAGCCTGATAAATAACCATGATTGTAATAAAACAAAATTCCTCACCTGGTTTACCACAAAACCCGTTAGACCAGAATTTGTATTCAGTATAATGCATCCTAAGAGATGGAAATCTCCAACTAGTTGTATACGGACCAAAATCGCATAATTTAGTAACACACAAAACTGGTTTTTGTTTTTGTTGTATGCCAATGTCTAGGAAAATCTTCAGCGGAGGACTAAAGCTAGTTATAATTCTTCTTAGTTGCACTCATACTATTAATTAATTTAACTTTCTGAATGAATTGAGTGAAGCTTTTTCCGACTATAAACTGAACAACTATAAGCAGTAAAGTTACAAAATCTTTTTGTATTCCTTTCCCTTTTCTATCGTATGCAACTATGCTAAAAGAGCTCATAGGTTAGATTTTGTTAATTTATTGAGTACACAGTTTTAATTTGATTCATAGAAAGAACGAAACAAAAATCTACACTTCCATTTATCCAAAAACATTTTTCCTATTACAGAACGGTTCTCAGTTTAAAGCTGGCCACTATCATGAATGATGCTGCCATGATAAACACTAATTTAATTGGATTGGTTATTAACTTTTTGTTTCTTGGCGGATTCTACTACTATGCCTCCATTAAGAGAAAGGGGAACATCTGGAAGCAGATTGGATACGCTTCCCTATTCCTGTTGGTCTGCACTGCATATGCAAACTTTGAGGATCCAAAGAAGATTGAGTTCCGTTTAGGAATGCTAATCACGGGAATCCTTGTGTGGCTGGTGGGCTCACCACTGCTACACCTTCCTAAAATCATTGAAAAGAAGAGCACAGAGGGCATGCCTTTTCCAATTATATTGTCTGGTAACCTTGTCGCCACCTCTTGGATGCTGTACGCGATTTCCATAAAGAATACTGTGATGGTGGTAAGTTGAGAGCGGAGCGGCTTTTATAAGATGAATTATCTATTTGATGTACGATACATTTTAGCTGCAAAATTTGTTACTTCTGGTCTTGGGTGGAATTCAGCTGTCTATGTTTGCCATTTACCCAAATAAACCAACTGCCAAGAAGACGGCGGCCAAGAACGACAGTAAGAAGGATAAATAATTGTTTGAGCGGACTAAAAATGGATTACCACATCACCAATTAATATGTAGCTAGGATCGAGAAATATTCGTATTGCATATTGCCTGAATTTACACTAAACCGCCAAAACATAATCAAAAAACTTATTGAAATTCTTCCTATACAAAATATTTTTCTACATATATGACCGGCCGGCTTTAGGGCAGGTGGAGCGGGGCGGGCGCCAAAGTACCCACGAGGATTATTTTTTTAAAAGTCTTCCTGCATCATTGGCTGAAAAAAAACATAGTAGAACTGGAAGAAAAATAACAGTAAGGGGCGCCTCGCCTATATAACGCCCGGCCGTCATTAGACCTAAAGTAGGCCTTGTACATAGCTACTAAGTACTTGCAATTTTTGACAATAATTCAAATCTTCCAATGCATATTTATAAATAAAAATAGTTAAACTGTTACAAATTCAATAATTTCCTGCCTCTTCTATGTCTAGATTTCTACTGGCACTGTGGAGTTATAGTGGGCACCCAACTGGTAGATATGACGATGATAGCATAGTACCAGGGGTGCACCGCCAAATTCCTCCTGCCCTAGCAGTGTAGGAGCTCCCTCGGCTTGGATGACTTCAATGGGAACCTTCAGCAGTGAGGAGATTGCCTTTAGTTCGATGTGACCACCCCATGCATGGTTCTCGTCTATGTCTTTGCAGTATTGCTTGAACTGCTCGTCATTTAACAGCTCTCCAGTCTCCGGATGGGTCATAAAAGAAAGAAAGAGGTCCTTTTGGGCACGCACATAATTGGCCGTCTCTTTCCGCAGCTCTTGTACACTGTGGCCCGGTAGAGCATTGACAATTAACTGATGGCGCACAGCATGATACAAGCAGTCGCCATCGGAGGCTATGGAATGCAGGGCCAGCTGTCGACTGGCTAATTTTGCTGTGATCTGTTGAACCTCGATCCATTTGAGCGATGGGCCTGCATCAGCTGCATTCTGGAGTTCCACGCGGATTTCCTCCTCGCGTTCGCGGGCCTCCCGTGCCTTCTTTTCGCGCCGCTTTTGGGCTTTAGAGACACGCTGCTGCGTGCCAGGTTCCTGTGAGTGTTTTTCTTCGTCGTCCTCGCTTTTGGCTGGTGGTGGCTTTTCAATGGGCGGCGCCTCTGCAAAGGGTTGATTCTTGGGCAGCTCTGACACGTCTTTGCTGTCGTCTGTCTGTAGTTCGTTCTTTTGACGCTGCTCTAGCTCATTCTCGAGACGTGACATTTCCTCTAGGAACTCCTTTCGCTTGGTTTTGTTGTTCTTGGGCGCATTCTTCTTCATGGCCTGCAACTTGGCCTGAAGTTCTTTACGCTCGCGGCGATGGCGAGAGGCAACATCCTCCAGATTGACGTCATTCAACTTTGATTCCAGCTCTAATATTTCCCCGCCGTCCTTTGCCATTTTCACAGCCTTTTTTTAATTTTAATGAAAGAAACTATGTTTTGGGTAAATTTTCGGCAGTGTTAGTGTTGGCAAATGCGCAAATGGTAATAGTCAGAGTTGCCATGACAGACTAGTTAAAGCTATATCTAGTATTTTTTTAATTTGAAAAAAATAAATAAATAAAATTAATGATAAATAAGCTTACATAAAATGTGCTGAGATACAAGATATGGTTTGTGCAAGAACGGCAAATGTTGCCACAACTTTAAACGACTTTCCCTCGTTATATTAACGTTTAGTTTCAATTTATAGTTAAAGCCCATTACCCAGATCAGTTACATTTTTTCCTACAAAAAGTGTTGTATTTTTCATAACAGATAATAAACTGGGCGCATCATTGGATTTTTCAGTGAAATGGAACATGCGACAATGATGCCCACTAGAGCCCTGTGGATAGAAGAAGACAATAATGCGGCGCATCATTGGCAAGTGCTGCCGTATTCTGTCTAGTATTTTTATAAAATACTGCAATTATTCGGGGTATGGGTATCGATAGCAAACAGCTCTTTTTGTCGCATCAAACAATAGCAACAAAGCTGAAAAATAATGCTGTGTAAACGGCTCGCATAATTTTTCCACACCTTCGACTTGATGCGGCAGTGTAAGAATTTTATGAAAACATATTGATTACATTTCTGATCCGCAGGATTGGATTTATCTAAAATTGCAATGTGCATTGTCGAACTCCAGCTCCACAGCTCCCACAAATAAGACATTTCTACTTGATTTAATACAACATTTGAAGTTTTAACAGATTTCTGTTTGTAATAGCTGTTCTGCAAAACAGATATGCAATCTACATGGTTTTCATCTCCTTTTAAATGATTAATATGAGTATATACCGAGTATTAAATTAATAAATAATAATATCCATTCGACTGCCTTAATTAAAATAAATTGTCTTCATTATTGCACTTTTGTAGCTGGCTTTCACTAGTTTCCTTCCATTTTTAAGGTAAGTGTGTATGTACATATGTGCCTTTTTGACGACGAAAGATAGAATATTTATATGTTCCGCTCGAAATGGGAATATAACATCGTTTGCTTTTTTAGTATGTATCAAATGGCCTTTTTTTTGGAACTCAATACAGGTCTGCGAAACGCCTAAACAAACACAAAAGAGTGTAACCGTAGAGCATACACTTTGCCCACTTTAATCACACTGGTCACCGACAACAAATGTAGCTCATCTATCTGATGAATATAAGTTGAAATAATTTTCATAAATTATGCTTGAAACTGCCAAGCGTTTGCTACATATTTTACAAAACCTATTGCACAAAAATATGTACATTCATTGGCCAACAGTGGCAACGACTTATTAACTTCCTTAACATGTTAATAAAAGAGAAAACTAAACCTTAGACGAAATATTACCTAATCGTTATCAAACAAAATTATATTTATTATCGACTAAACGCACAACACGCTCTCTTATATCTAATGTGATTTTCCTATCAGAAAGTATAAAAGGAAGCACTGGCTAACTATGAATTAGTATCTCAGAAAGCCCTACATAACCCGCTCACCGCTACTAATTAGAGGCTCTTGGTAATGTTTTGGAACAAGCGACGACCCCACCAGGATTCCAGATCGAAGGGCTTAAAGTCTTGCAGCGCTGGGCTAGGTGGTTCTACCCAAACAGCCGCCGATGCGGAGGTGGTAAATGGTTTATTGGCGATGATAAATTCCACAGGATTAGTGGCATTGTTATTGTTAGCATCAGCCACTGGTTTCTCGGAGGGCTTGCCCGCTGTACTCGAATCATAGGGATTTGGTGCAACTAACATGTTCCATGCTATAATGAAACAAATTTCATTAAAATAAATAGTTTTTTCTTGATGCACATACATATGTACATAGTATATAATTTTTTCGACTTACAGTCATTTATATAGCGTATGATTTCTTCATGCTGCGGGGTTATCACCTCATCCTCGATCAGCTTTGTGGGTGTTATCCGTTTTGAGGCACTCTGTTGAAAGAACGGACGCGGGATACTATTTTCCAAAAGAAATCAAATTTTAATAACAATTCCATTAAATTTTCAATATTTACGACGCTGCACTCATGTAAATCGTACTATGCTCAGTGAAGAACATGTGGACTATAAAAACAAATCGCTCGAGGAAAGTGGGGGGAAAAAGACAGCGTGGGTACTCTGCTCTGGGAACCTTGACGTACGAATATTGCTTAAAATTTAAAAATTGAGATTTTAACTCAGGCAGATATAACCACATGAAACTGACACGTAGTGCTGATAACGAATCTGAATATGCATGCATACATTCATATGTACATATTTAATCATAAGTGCACATATGGGAGAAATCTTAAACGATTTTCGATTAGCATGGATGCATACTGTACTATACGAAGTAATGATACCCTCACCGGTATCACCGTCTTGCACCCTACAAATATCTGTTGCTGTGGCTCCCAATTATCTCGCTTAGAAGCGTGTGACGTAACGGGCGGAAAAGTCATTGCCTTTGGGCCAGCCGATAACCGATGCTTGACCCACGTGTTGCCTCTTACTGGGAGCTCCGCTGCTCAATTAGCATAGAAGTGCTAGCTAGGTCGGTCTCTTGTCTCTTGCGATAAAATGTCAAGATAAGACGAGGGTCCCTCGCTCCCTTTCCGACACATTTCCAACATGTGCAGGCATACGCATTGTTTGCATAAGCGATGTTCACTTACTTGTGCTCCTCGGAGGGACTGTTCAGATCGAAGCTGCCGTTCTTCTTGCTGCTCTCCTTGATGCTTTCGAATTTTTCAAAGTTTTGGGACAGACCTAAACGATAGCGAGGAGAATGATGCAGTTGAAAATGCCGGCAAACAATTTTCAAGAGAGAGAGAGTGAGAGTGCGCGCTCCCGCTCAACGCATTGTTGTGACATAACAGTTCGGCAACAATTCCGTGCCCGGTCTTTGGGTTTATTGTACTTTTTCATGAATGTGGAAAAGTACATTTAAATGCACTGTACTTACCGCGTCGCGTTTTAGCAACAATTTTGCTGGGTCCCTTGTTGATGGTGTACATGGTTTGGTTTGGTATTTAAATGTTTAATTTAACCCTCTCTCTATCGCTAGATGTTTTTCTGGCAACAAACTCTCCTTTGCTATTTTCGTTACTGCTGTCTTTTCTCTGTTCCGTTTTGTGCCTTTTGACGTATGTAGATTAGTTTTTAAGAAATTATATGATCAGAATTTCCCCGCAGTCTGTTGGTTGCCTCATCTTTTAAGCAGTTACACAATACACATTTGACTTCAAGGCACTTTTTTCGGTTCTCGCGACGTCAGACAAATCAATTGCTTTCTGTATTGGCTATGGGCTATTGGCTATTGGCTATTATTGTTCTGGAAGGTATTTAAAAGTATCATTCGCGATTAATTGAAACAAGAATTTGTAACGCCTAACATATGCCGTAACAGCGAGAAACATATGGTTGTTAACATCGACAGATTCTGTTAAATATGTATCGATATTTATTTGTTGCGATAATATTATGGATACTTTCACTTTGGCGCGCAGCTCTATCACTAACCATACAGTATATGTATGTATGTAACCATACAGTATATGTATGTATGTATACTGTATGGTTAGTGCTCAAACAAAATGTTTTGCAAATCGTATGGGTATTTTAGGTATTTTAGTATTTTTCTGTTTAAATTGCGTACAATTTGTTGGAAAATCTGGTATTTTTGGCTTAGCGGTATTTGCTTGGTATATTGCAGACGGAGAGCGGGAAAACTTAAGAAAATATATATAAATAATTTATTAATTTATTGTTTGGATGATTATTTAATATATTCAATATAGTAAGGAATAATAAGGTTCAAAATTATCTCAATTAATGAAAAATAAAATGAACCTTGTACATAAGATACAAAAACTATACAAGTTCTGAGATAATACTTTAATAAAATACATGCAAGTACCAGATAAATCTGCAATCGAATTTAGCTGGGACTCGACATATATGTAGATATGTATATAAATGTATTCTGTAATCCGGTTGCACGCTATTTTTGTACGAGTGATACTCTTTCCCCCATTTTATGATTCCACTCCAGTATTTTGATGGTCAGGTGTACGATTTTAAATAAAAACTAATTGTTTTCGTATACATATGTATTATGTACGTAAGTACTTATGTATATGGGCAGTTATATTCATGTACAGCATGTTTTTTGAGCGTTCTTAGTCTTAGATATGTGTTTAAATGTGTCTTGACAGAGTTTTTTTTAATTTCGTATTTTGGTTGGAAGATGACTGGAAGATACCGCTTAAAGTACTCTTGAACACATATCATTTGTGGATTATAGGACGGCTCACAAGGTACTACCAGGACTACCTGCGCGAGTAATTTCAAAAGCATTAAAATAGGATTAAGGGCCATTTTCAGCGAAAAATTGTACAATTGGGCAGGTAATGCCATAAAATGGCAGATGTAGGAATAAATAAAGGTTTTTCCGCATGGATATTTATGACCATCTGGAAATTGCACACCAATCAATTGCATATAAACAGTTGCCGAAGGCTAATAGAAATCAGTAGCAAGCCAACAACTTCAAGAAACACAATATTTTCTGTCCGAATAATAAGCCTGAAATCATGTCGAGCACCGAGACCGAGACCTGCCAAATTTTGCAACGCCTGAACAGCCTAACAATTGTAGAAGCTCCGAGGAACGACAGCAAAAGAGAATGCTTCTCACCATTGGTACCAGCTACTCCCAGCTGCGGGGGACAAGGAAAATTTCAAATGGAGCCTAGGAAACGACGCAAGATAAAACTAAATCGAGTATACACGTATGAGGCGGATGCGCACTTTATTAAGGCGCGCAAGTCTTTGAACTTCTAATCAACACAACGTACAACATAACAAGCCCTGATGTAATCATTATATTATAAGATTTTAAATCCTAAATACGTTTCCAACACAAATACAATAAAGCATATTTTGAATATAATAAGGTTCGCGGTTTTTTGTTGTCATCGATATTTCCTGTTATTGCAGCCCTGTTAAACAGCTGAACCTCATACTTGACATGAAAAACTGAGCAAAATCCAAATACGGATGTTTAAATTTATTTAAACATTATAAAACTATAAAACATAAAATATGACTGATATTACTGTATCCAATGAGGCCCCGGCGAATGGAGGTGAGCCCGTGGCCGAGGCAGAAGACCCATATCAACAACCATCTCCAGAGTTCTTGCAGCGCAAAATCTATTTTCTCGTGGATCAGCTTAGGCAAATGCACGCAGAACTGCCAGAGTGAGTTAAAGCCTTGAATATGCTCTAAAATACTTAAGTAACGTTTGCTTTTGCTTACAGAAACCTGCAAACCCGAATTTCCTACGATCTACTTACAGAACTGGCCAATTGTGTGCTCAATGATAGCATTTTTGTCATAGTCAAGGCTCTAATGGAGCTCCAGCATGAGACTGAGAGGCATTTGATAAAAATGCGTATGCAGGTGGTTAACGAATATGAAATTGAGGTCAATGACTGGCGGGCCAAAATTAAGGATCCCGAGGAACTGTTGCACATTCTGGGCCTAATGAAACTCAAACATTCCAAAAAACTAGTGGAGTCGGACAAAAAGATTATTGAAATTCTAGATCAAAAGGCAGGTTTGCTCAACAAACTAACCGAAGTGACTTCATTTAATAGCTCCACCTGCTTTTGCCACCAGGTTAATGACCAGCAATCCACTTTGCAGAAGGCTGGTGTGCCTGGCTTCTATGTCACCGAGAATCCCAAGGAGATCAAAATACAAATGTTCCTACTGGATTTCATTTTGCGTCTGAGTCGACTCAAGTACGAGCCCAATAAATAGCAGCTGGATCACAATCCAGAGCTCCCGAAATACAGCACTTGACTTTTAAGCCTTTTAGCCTGTCCTAAGTTGGAATATTTAAACCTATAAGTTATTAACCATGATAAAATGTTCTGCTCATCGTTTTAAAAACCTGTCGTGCTGCGCAGCTAATCAGTGAGGAATTGTGAGAGTGGGAGAACGGGAAGCATAGAGAGTGGGAGAATCGACCGAGATAAAGATAGAGATAATGTGCCTCTTTTACTCCCGCCGAGCGTATTAAGCTGAGAGCCGGCGCTATAAATTGTGGCGACCAGGTTATAGATGCATCAGTTCGGCTTGAAATTTCTAAAGAACACATCAAAAAACCTTGTGTGTAAAATGTCTCTGACTATCACGACAACTGTTTCACATCCTGAGCTTAAGGATCTGGTGAGTTAATGGGACTCTACCCTGGCAGGGTCAGCCGGCCGGTTAGGTCATAAATAGCAGTTGAATAATGTTGAAAGCATTCGTTTTGATGTGTTTTGGCCAATCAAGCTTAGTTGCTTCCCAACAGCCAACCTGTTCGGCACGAAATGTTTGCGCGTTTGTTTCGTAATTTCAAGGCAAGGCAACATAGACATATTTTATTACAACAGTGTATTTTAATTTAATAGTTGGCTTTTTATATCTAAACTGAGTCCAGCGTATACAAAAAAGTGTGAAAAACTATATTTTTCTTGAAAAGTAGTTTTTACCATCGACCTTGGTTTTGATTTTGTAATGTGTGTGGAGGCAATCAGCTGTTTTGTCGAAAGCACAAAAGCACACAAAGAAAGAGTGAATTGCTATTGAAACACACGAGAAATTGTTGAAATTGACAAGAGTGCATTTTGAATGTTTGTGTTGAAAAATGCGCTGCCTGCCGGGATTCGGTTACGGTCTCACATTTCTGTTCTTGGTGTGACCTGCAATGCAACGAAATAGAATCCAATGATTACTCACTCTTCTCTTCTTTTTATCGCCTACTTGCAGAGCACTGTCCGAAATGAACAAAAGGAGCTGAGCATATCGCCTGTACATCATGTTAACATTCCCAAAGCCACAGCCACCTTCGGGATGGGATGCTTCTGGGGAGCCGAATCGCTGTATGGTGCCACCCGGGGCGTATTGAGGACTACTGTGGGCTATGCCGGGGGCAGCTCCGAATTTCCAACGTACCGTAAAATGTAAGCTTGGAGAAAATGAGCACTGATCATTCTAACCCGAACATTTTTTTCCTTCGCACACACCCATCCCGCCTACTACATCTACCTAAACTCTACACCAACACCTTTCCGACGCCTTACTAACGCACAAATCTTAACAGGGGCGATCACACGGAGGTTCTAGAAATCGACTACGATCCCACAGTGATCAGCTTCAAGGAGCTGTTAGACTTGTTCTGGAACAATCATGAGTATGGCCTGACGACACCCATCAAGCGTCAGTACGCCTCCTTGATTCTCTACCATGATGACGAGCAGAAGCAGATCGCTGAAAACTCCAAGTTGGAGGAGCAGGATCGTCGGGCACCCGAGGTCATTACTACTGAGGTGGCACCCAAGGCGAACTTTTATGCGGCCGAAGCGTAAGTTGAAACAATAGGTCATCTCCGTCAATGATAATACACATTCTGAATTCCCATAGCTATCACCAAAAGTACAGACTGCAGGGTCACAAGGATCTAGCTACCTCTCTAAACCTCAGCCCCACGCTATTGCAGAGCAGCTATGTGGCCACCAAACTGAATGGCTATCTGGCTGGTGTCGGGGGCATGGAGCAGTTCAAATCGGAAGTGGAAACATTGGGACTTACGCCCACTCAGCGTCAGTACTGCAACTATCACGTAGAGCAGAACGAGGGCCAGGGGCTCTACTGCTGACATGGGCGTCTCTGCATAGATGTTAAGCTAAGATCGTACACATAAGGGGGGTATACTATTCTGTCAGCTTTTTATTTTTTTGCTTGCTAGAAACAAAATTCGTATTATGTAGATTTAGAAGTATGGAAAAAAATATTAAATATATATAATAAATATTTTATTAAAAATATTATCTCAAGTGGAATATATGAATCTTTCTTTTGCTTCTTTTTTACTGCTTGCATTTAACCGATAAAGCAATCTTGTTTTGCCTATGTGCTAATATTATTTGGCTTCATCCTAGGCTATTGAGAAAAAAACAACAGCTTAAATAGCTTACTGCCTAATCTGGGATGATGAACATTTGGTAGTCATAAAATAATTTTGACGCATGATGATAACGATTTTGCTGGGTCATATGTATACCTAATGTGCCCCCATTGTGAATACGATCTGATCGAGCCAGACGTGAATTTCTTGTTAACTCGAGCTATAGTTTGATGATTGATGGATGATATACAAATTATATATATACACATAAGTTATATAAAAATATATATTGGATGTCGAATCACTATTTAAATAACATTTTTGAAAGATATACTGTGTACAAAAACTTGGCAGGGTATCAGGACTGATTTAAGTTTTATATTATCCAAACCATCTTCAAGTTAGAATTAATTTTAGATCAATTTAAAGATTACCAATCTTGAACACTTACAGAAATGTTATAGAAAAAGTTAGGACCATTAAATAGAGGTAGTAATGACTAGCCTTATATGGCATTAGAAATAGAAAGAAATTCACCTAGTCATATTTTATCTATATATGTATGGGGTCTGATTAGAAAAACATAGTGCTTCAAGTTCTTCATAAAATATAATTAGACGGCGTATGGGAAGTGCAAACCAAACAAAATGTATATATACATATATCCGGGGCCTTCAACCCAAACTCGGTAGATTTGACCGCTCTTTTATTAATTTATATGAAGCACATGTCTCCCCTCATTGAATGAATGGCAAGCCAGAGAGCTGCGACAACTATCAGACAAAGCTCTCTCTGTCGCCGTCTCCTCCCCTATCATTCGTTCATAGCGACTAAACGGCCGCGTGCGATAAAGCCAAAGCGAAAAAAGCATAGTGTTTTGTTTACAGCAAAAGCAAGATTTAATTTGTGTTTTGTTAAATGATTTCTCTATTAAAGAATGTACAAAATCGCATGAAATTCGGTCTAGTCATACGCCATCAGCTAAAGTATCTGATTCTTCAAAAATCATTAAAATCAAAGCACCCACTGGGGGCTGGTGAATTTTTGCGATCTATCGGACTCTCAATCAAGCAATCAGTATTTATTTCGAGTATAGTACAGTTTGGTCTAGGAGCCACCAGCTGCCAAAATTTGAACAGAAAATCTATAGCCGTTTATCATCAGTAATTTTTACAAGATTTGTCGTTATACGTTTCAGCCCAGAAGAGGAAGAGCAGCATTCCCCAAAGCACACGAGATCGTCAGACGCGCGACGATAGACATAACAACAAAAGCTATTAATTCTTTGTTTGTATTAGTCGCACGGATTGAGTTGATAATATTTTCACAAGTCAGTCCGCTGGGTAAGGGGCACTCATTGAGGATGTTTCTACATGCACATGTGTACTATATATGTACATACATATGTAATCAATTTGATTAATTCATAATACCCTGGCAGATTTTTCTAATACAGAGAAACGTATTTTGAATCTCTTACTGATTTCCATACGGTTTCTCATCAAATTGAATGAAATGTAATGCAAATTGAAAGTTTTAGGGATTTAGCATTGATATTGTAGATATTGTATGCAGTAGCCTGCTGGGTAGCTTCGACTAAGCCTTTCTTTCTTGCTTAGCGCACACGATCTCCTATACATACGTATGTATGTATGTGCATATTTGCAAATCATCCTATTTGCAACTTGAATTTTTATTTCATTTTGAAATCAAGAAGATGTTGTACATGTAGAAATCCAGCCAGTCATGCATGGCTTTGATAAGGTTTATTGGTAATAAATATTGTATTTAAGTACGTTGATGCTCTTAAGGTTATTCGCAAATTCTTTGACACAGCTTACAAGATTTTTCAAATGGGACCCTTCATGTACATATGTGTACATTGTACATATGTATGTATGCATGTGCATATTTATATATTCGTCTTTTGAGATTTTTTGTATTTTGTATATTTCCATCCTAGCGCGACCAGCATATTAATACTTATAAATTAGGGCGCTATTCACAGCAATTGTAATAGTTATTAACAATTAAACATTCGGAATACATATAAACATTTAAGAGTGATTACAGTTAAAATTGAACTTACATTTGTACTAACATATTAAGCATAATTAAATTTCTATACCGATATTATAATACGATTAAGTGTTTGAAAGAATCTTTGGACGAATGTATTGCTAATATGATATGTCTGCAATCGATATCTCTAAATATCTTCACTGTTTTAGCTACAGAAGCAACAACAGGTTTTAATTGCAAGTCGTATTGTTGTTGTCATTTTGAACGCAAACCGCCAACATAAAATATGAATTTTTACAACTGTCACGTAATAATCAAAAAATATTACAATCTGGACGATTCCGACGAGGAGGAGGGGGAAAAGAAACAGGAACGGAAAAAACAGGATGATGATGAAGCGGCGAATGAACTCAATGATGAAGATGAACGGGAACGGGAAGATGAACATATTGATGAACGGGACCTACCATGGCCACCTGCAGACATGGAGGAATGAGAGGCGGTGGAGCAGGACAGCACCGCCCGGGAAGTCTCTGACACTGATTCGCAGTCGACATCGTTGACGGTGCCGACACCTTCGACATCTTCAAAGGCCTTATCAGCGTTGTCCACGTCAAATTCAAATGCTGAGGTGAAGTAACCGAATTCGTAAATCTGTACTCCATCCTATGGAATACGAATGAAAAAGATCGTGGGAGAAAAATATTGCATAGAGCAAATCAAAGAAAAAGATTGTTCAAATCACATGCCAAGCTGCTATCAACAATAATAGTTGAATATTTTTGCAAAAATGGGCTCCTTATGAGCAAAAGAAATGCAAGAGATTTGGCCAGGACCATACGAATATTTTACCCATTCGAAAATCGAAATTGGGCAGATAGATTGTATTACAAATTTCGACAAGGAAAAGAATACAGGCGACATATGAGCGAAGAAAGGGCGGACTGCTGTGTCACAGAACAGCACAGATCAATTCTGTAAATTTCATTCTGTTCATTTATTTTACTATATTATTATTATGTACATAAGCGGTGTATTCATTCTGTTCAATTCATAATTTCAATGTTCAATTCATCATTAATTTTACTATAATTTAGCTCAATATATTCAATATATTATAAACGATACGCGGTGTAAGATGTATCCAGTATGGTCGCCTCTGGGCTACGAATGGATGGCTTATTGGGATGGCGTCCTGATGACGTTCGTCCCAATAATGACGACTGCTGGAGCCATGGTCAATGGTTGCATCGGCGGCAGCTTTGGCCAGTGATTGAGTGCATCTTCGATATGCCTGGCTACCAACTAATTATGACTGAATGGGATTTCTATATCCATTTCGCTCGGCATTTTGTATTTTTTGCCTTCTTCTTCTTCTCCTCCTCTTTCTGTGTTGCAGTTTCCAACACTATCTGAGCCAGCTGACCAGTTGTCGTATTTCACCAGACTTCAAGTTCAAGTAATAGGCAAATTAGACAGTTTGGCTTTCTAGTCAAACTATTAGCAAAGCGGAACGGCAACTACTTTCTACTTTACATGGATAATCGAAATGGCGCCATCTGTCGACGGTGATGTTTGAATATCATGGATCAGATCCACTAGTATGTAGTATAGTAGTCTCTTTCTCGCGCTTTGATGCTACAGCTGGTCAAAAAAGTAAACTTCCAGGCCTCTTGAATATAGAAAATAATGTACCATAATGCAGTAAATTAAAACAAAAATTGCGCTTTGCAATGGAACTATTTATTTTAATGCCGTTTGTTACTTATATATACACAAACTCTGCACTATATTAATACAATAGTTAGAAAATCTTATATAGTAAATAATAATTAAACTAACACGGAAGCACTGCGATCAGATGAGAAGATCGTTGGTCGACTTAAATCCTCATGGACAGACGTCGCCGTGGTTTCAGCGCATTTTCGGTTCTCTCAATGCGCATACGAAGGATGTGGTTAGCTTGGAGTTCACGATGTCTACTGGGCGACAGCTTCGTCCCCAACTCAAACCCTGATTCGGTCTTCGGGGATCGGCGACAAATCACAAAATCTGTCGAGTCCTTGTCAAACAGATTATGCTGACGTATCCGGACACAACGCTTCGGGGTGTTCACCAATGGCTCCGAATGGGGCTCGTCCATATTCTTGGTGTCCAACTGATCCACCTCTATAGTTAATAGTTCATTGAACATATCTTCTACAGCTGTGTAGTATAGCGTAGTATTTGAGGTCATAGTTAACCTGATGCTGACGAACAACTGAAAAATGAAATGCATTCGAAATGCATGCACATGCACAGGCCAGTCGATTCACTTTTCAACCCTCGTCAGGGACCGACTACCTGGTCACACAAAAGGATCGGCAATCGTAAGAGGAAATGGAAATGGTACTAACAACGAATGTAGTCACCATATTGAATTTATCTCTGCGCAAAAAAAAACAAAAACCCATCATTTCTATGAATCACATTTCCCTCATTCCTTATCAGCCAAGCCCAAAGATAAAGAACGCGCTAAAAAAAGTACGACAAATTCTAAATTGCCGTACGTACGGCCATAGAACCCAGTTAGAACAATCGTAGATAAGGAAAAATCCCACTATGAGCATTAGGTTCGATTAGATTAAATAACACATTTCCCGGATTCGGTTAATTTCGTTATTTTTATGGGAATTATTATTAATGTTGTCTATGGTATAAATTCATCGCTCTAGATCAATATTCCTTATTAAAATAGTCGCGTATGCTGCGCTTTACAATGGGCGTCAGCTGGGAGACCTGCTGCTGAATGTCTTTGGTATCCTTATCCTTGTGATAATAGACCGTGAAGTAAACAATTAAACCAATTACGACCAGCAGGACAATAATAGAGCAGAAAATGCTCATCAACATTTTGCAGGCGCAGGAACAGCAGCTAAAACGGAAAAGAGAGTAAGATAATATTTGAATATGAACTTTGTACATATATAGGAAAATATCAGAAGTGACTTGGAAAAAGATTCCTGTTATGCCGATTAAGACCAAAATCCTAATAAGCAGTAATTTTATTTAGGAAATCAAAAATTTGTGATATAATTAATGTGTCAGAAATCAGTCACAGTAAGTACTTACCAGCAAACAACTTTGCCGGGGCATTTGAGACATTCGCAGAGAGCGTTGCACATGTTGAATGTAGCCGACGGGTACTCTGTATATTAATTACAAACAAGGTGTTATATATAAGCCAAATCTTAACCGAAGCTCTCTCGGCATTCGATGTGTCGTTGGCCAAAACAAATTAACAACTGAAATGCGAGTGTTGTCCACAAATCAGGCCGACAGGTATTGGGAAACTCAGCGAAAGCTTTAATCATATCGGTTCAAAGAGAGGGAAAAAACAATATATTGTACTGATAACGAGTCGGTTATAATTAACGCCAACGAGAGGTGACAAGAAGATACGGGAAAGGGATCGCTTAAGTTCAGAAGTGCTATTTTTGTGGCTGTTTTTTCAATTGAAGGACTGGTATAGGGTCCTCTTCCATCTGAATGTGGGTACCATCGTCCTTCCACCGGTTAGAGCTATTACCAGAGCAAACAAACAATTCGACTTTGATTAGTCGACACAGATATTTCTAGCTGATTCAGAAAACAGACAAGGCCCCTTGAGAAAGCAGCCTATGGCAGTGACAAATGGTTCAGAGTTGGAGATAACATTTTAAAACCTAAACTGATTGATTAAAGACAGGTTAGAAAAAGTGCGGATGAGCAGTATTCTATTATTAAATATAGAAACCTAATCAACAGGAAAAATTTCGTATCAAGTACTTAACCAGCTTTCCTGGAAGGGATTTTAATTCGTGATGGAAATTTTTCGGGGATTTACCTTAGCTAAATGTTTAATAGCACAAGAAATCTACAAGTATATTAAATCGGAAATTATAGCGCAACAATCAATAAGCAAGCGCATCTTTGATAAGATTCATGAATTACCAATTAATTATAGGTTTCTATAACTCGACGAATCGAATCACCTAAGGCAGGTGGCTCAATTCCCTTTACAACACATAATGTTGACCAAACGACGATGGCCAACATAAAAAGCTTGAATGTAAACAGCGAATGAACCATTTTGTTAGTAACCATTAATGCAGGTCGCTGATATTCATTTTTTTCAGCGACATATGAAACCAATTGCTGATCTAAGCGATTTGATGGACTTCTTTGAAATCTTATGTACATCAGCAAACCACACACTTCCAGCTCAGTTTTATTCAGTCTGCATTTAAAGATGGTCACACAGATAGTTCCCTTCGTTTTGCTGGTTCTTGCTCAGGCGACTCCAAGTGCAGCGTGGATGTTAACAAAGGCTGGCTTTAACGAATCCAGTTACAGTGTGCGACACCTGTCGATGCATTATTCGAGAGTATTTCTCAGTGTCACCGTAAAAGGGAACGATTCCCCGACACTCATCGAGGCCCAGTGGCCAGTGTCGCACTTTCCAATGCCAACCGTGATATTTCCCCACCGGGATGTACATGCGAATGGAGCTCATTCCGATTGTACTTTGCTGCAGCAAGCGCATTGGTCGCAGGTGGACAGCCTCAGTCGCCTGTGGGTTTTGGATATCGGCTGGCCGGGCAGCAGGTGTTCGCCCAGGTTGTTTGTCTTTGATTTGATACGCAACAATGCAGAGCTCCTGAGAATTGACTGCGGTCAGCACTTCAACGACACCCAAAGTTTGGTTGTAAAATTGGGACCCAAGGTAAAGAGCTGCAAATTTGAACGACACATATACTTCATCCTGGGGAAAGACCCGCATATTCTGGCCTACGACATTCTGGAACAGACCTGGAAAAGTCGTTTTTTGAAGAGTTACAAGTACGAGAGCATGCAGCAATCATTCGCCATCAGGCCAATTGACTTTACTTTTGGTCTGCAGGGCGAATTAATTGTTGTGGATCAAGATGGCGGGCTCTATAGCTCCGTGGACGGTCTGCAATGGGAAGAGAACTCTGCATTATCCTCCACTTCTGTAACAAAACACAAAGAACTTACCCGTCTGGGCACCCTTTTGGGCAAGGGTCGCAGCATGATCATGGACAGCTTGGGAACCTTGTTCTATGTTATACCCAAGTTTGGAGCGGTTGTGCGGTGTGTCCAGCTGGCTAACATCACGGCCGAAGGCAACGAAATCATCTATCTGACGTCGAGAAACATACAACAAATATTTTTTGGCAACAAAAACAACGACGTGTGGGTACTAAGTGACCGTGTTTTGAAGACGCAAGATATGTGTTTTCCTGGAATGTTGTAAAGCGATATATTTTATCTTTTATTTACAATAATTAAATATGTCAACAAAAATTACAGCAAAAACAAAACTGTAAAAACTTTGCCGACGCTTAATCAATACTGTTCAAAGTCTTAAGCCAACGCTGGTTCGAACTTCGAATGTTCCCAAAAGATTCCGAATTCTTTACATTCCTTGCATGTTGTTTACTTGTTTTTATTTGGTGATGTGATTCGTTTTGGTTCGATAATAATGCTATATACTTTAAATGGATCAAAAACAATCAAATTAATGGCTAACAGTTTGCTTGTTTAAGTAACCCATTAAGGCCTGCAATCGCTTCTTGATGTTCTTCTGATCGTCCAAAGTACAACCAAGCAGAGCGCTCTCAAATTTCTTGTCGATCGGTCCGACATCAGCCTCTGCCAGTGTGTCCTGATAGCCAGACGGATCCATGGCACTACTGCAGCAGGCGTTCAAGTACAGCTGGCAACGTTGGCGGGCGATCACAGGATCTCCCACTTTTATCATAGTGTCGATCAAAGAATTTATTTGACTAAGCGAATCCTCCTGGGAGGTGTCACGCACTGTGCGCACATTTAATTCAACAGTTCCTAGGCGTGAACTAACTCGCTGTATGTACAACATGATCTCCTCGCGCTCGGCTACAGTTGAGGAGAGGGATTAAATTTTTTCCTTTGAGGTATTGTGTTACGTTACTTACACTCTCTCATCTTCTGAAGCATTTCGTTGCTTTTAATCAGATCCATAGACATTAAAAGGTAGTCTTTCATCTCTTGCAAATTGAGAGCATCCTTGCGAAGCTTCTCTACACGTGCATCAATCTGATCCAATATGTTAACAAATCTGCAAGTTGTTCAGAGTTTAGTCATGGTTTGCAAATGTTAAATTAGTATATACCTCTCATTGGCATTTATTGATCTGTCGCCAAGATGGTTGAATGTTTTCATTGGGTTCATTGGTTTTTATATGAAAAGAAACAATCAAATTTAGACTGTTAGACCGCTATGCTTCGGCTCAGCTCTTCAGTTATAGAAATATGTACATAAAGGTCTCCAAATAATGACCCTAGAGCCGCTTACACACAGGTTTCGAGGCTGTGTGGGCGTCTTTCGGAGGTACTTTAGCTATCACCATTAAGTTATGGAAAAAAATAATCGAATGAAGCTGGTAGCAGTGTGAGGTGAGGGAATAACAAAAGAAATGAAACAGTTGTGCCTATCGTTTTGTGTTGTGGTCGCTACAAGTTTTGACAGATTTTATGTAGGATAGGATGGAATAACAACCTGTCCAGCGCTCTACTGTCGTCGACTAGTCCATATGAGTTGTTGCTGCCATTGTCACTGGCGCTGGAGACTGCTGTGGATGTGGAAGGCACAGCGCCTGAACGAAGGCCGTGCAAATAGTCGAAATTCATTGATGACTCCGAGTGGGTGACGCTGGATGAGTTTTTTTGATGACGATGATTCTCGTTAGGACGCTGCGCTGATTGCGCATCAATTTCCATCTCCTGCGGCTGATCCAGAGTGAGTTTAAACTGCCAGCGCTTGCGTTTTCCAAACAAGTGTTAATCGCTCTGGGTCTCCCTGCTGCTTGCTGCCTACTGTGGCTTCGGTTTTGGCCGATTGCTGGCTACTTTTGGAATGTCTTAAGCTTTTTGAGTAGGTGTCGGAGAAGTGTTTGATGCTTTTGCTTATTTTTTATATTTTGTTTATACACACACACGCAAGCTGTAAGAGAGAGAGAGAGAGAGAGACAGAGTGCTCAGTTAGTATTTAATTACCTATCGGCTGGTGTGCTGTTAAAATATGCGTCCGGCCAGGCGACACTATAGTCATCATTGGACCCCGGCCCCTGCCCCTCATCATCCACACAAGAAAATTGTGGATGGAGTTCAGGGCTCTCAGAAGGCGGCGGCGTTTCTTCACTGCAGTGGCGACGCTTGCGAAAAATACTTCGCAAATTTTCCAGCATACTTTCCATGAAGATTTCCGATTATACTCGTATTTTTTCTTTTTGTTTCTTACGTGTGTACAAATCAGCACCAATTTGGGCAATAATCACCTAGGTCGCCTCGTTCCAGGGACTCGATTCCGCTGTTCGTATGATATTTGAATAGATTGATTACCTGCGACTTGGTAACGATTTGAAGCGAGCAGTGTTTTAATTTCACGTTTTACAAAAATAATTTTTCGTTTTAACTTAAAACTGATTCGATTTTCTTACATGATTAGCAAGAACAAGGTGACCCCCCACACCTTCAGTCGACTCTTCTGGATGTTAACTTTTAACTTTGTTTACTTTTTTATTTACCTTAAATTTATTTTCTTAGAGATGAGAACATTTGTCTTTGTGTTGTCATCGATGTCCATATCGGTGTATCGATGTGTGTAGACCACTATCGATGCTTTAAAATGTGTTTATTTTATTTCAGTATGTTTAGTATTGAAAAAAAATTAATTGCATAACTTGACATCGTTTTTTTTCATTGTACGTTGATATTAGAATCCTGCATTAACGGGCAACCGAATCGATTCGCAGGGATTCGGTATTCGATTCGTCCGATCAAATTGAGGAATTAAGGCCTGTGTCCAGCACCACGGAAAATTCCTGCCATGAAATTGCTATTTATTCTGTGAGGGTGTGGAACATAGCTAAAACAGGGTTGATGAATCATCTGTGTTTTGTAAACAGAGGCAACTGTAAAATTGAAGTGATTGTGTTGATGGCGGCATATATTGTTGCAAAACAAAAAAGAAAAAAGTTTTGCGGACAGTTTTTGCCTACATCTTGCACCATTCATTTCAGGAAAAATTGTAAAGTATATATTCCTGAGCTGGGTATCAGCTGTTCTCTCAGTCCACACACGGTCCCGATAGGCAACTATCGATATAAATCTGTGGATTCCGCTCGTGTTGCTGGGATATACACTCCAGGAATACGTAAACGAAACATTCCTGCCACAGTTTTTTTTATATGGAGTTTGACAGGAATTTTTCGATTCCGAAGTGCTGGATACTATGCTTAAGGTGTAATATTTTTGCACAACTCCATGACTGAAAGTTATTGAGATCGGATTGCAAGCGAGAGTAAAATGAAATGTCCTTATATTGCACACAAAGTTTAACATAATCTGCATACATGAGTACTCGAGAGTTTGTTAATACTTAAGGAGACAGGTCACTGTAGTACTACAGAAGTAACATTAACGGGTGAAGAGAAGGAGTTTTTGAAAAGGACTCTTTGAGACCTAGAACAAAGGTAGCTAAAAATCCATCTCAAAAGATTAGGTGGAAACCGTAAAAGGTCAAGTTATTGTGCACAGAGTCGATGCTTTATTGAAATCAGTGTAAACGACATTCGTCTGCAAGTTACCTAATACTCTAAAAAATTTGTGGTTGTTGATCGTCGCCTTCTAACTCCGCGCTGAGACTGAGACATAAGTGATTTTCAGAGATGTTGCAAATGCGGAGTTAACATTTTTTCAAACATAGATATACCTCTATAATTATTTGCATCAGACTTGTTACCTTTCTTATGGAGCGGAATAATAAAAGATTCCTTCCAGATCGGGAGGGGTTAATAAATAGGGTGAATAGTTTAGTCCACACAGAGCACACAGAGCGTTGGAACAGCACTTGAGTACACAGCCGGGAACTCCGTCAGGACCTAGTGACAACACCGGCTTAACTAGTCGAAGATCATGAAGCAGTGAACTTTCATTTAACAAGGGGCTGAAAGTGCCATTAGCTTTCATGAGAATAGGTTGTTTGGAAAAATTTGTCAAAAAGATTGGCAATTGCCTGATCATTGTTTGCTGACATATTCAGAAATGATGGCGAGGATGGATGTGCGGACGTTCTACGCTTACTATTTACGAAGCTGTAAAACTGTTTAGGGTCCAGTGAAAATCGTATCCTGCATCAAGATAGATAATTTTTAAGGCATTGAGCGTTAAGAAAGGAGAAATTTGACCGAGCTATTACATAGCGAGAGAGAGAAAACTGGATAACTCTTTTGTAAACCAAGAAGGCTTCCCAGATCTAACCGGACAGGAAAGTGGGAGACAAAAATCAAAAAGTGTGTAAAGTACATTGTAAACGAGAAGGAACGTGTGAGTCCCTTCTGGGGACGCGACTCTACTTATACCCGTACTCAGTCAGTATATACATTTTTGAGCTTATGATTTTTTAGAATTTAAAAATTAAAAAAAAAATGTTTACATGTTTTTTGCTACATCTGTTATCTACATCTACAATGTATATTCTACATCTAACATGTAGCGCTCGCGCACTGAACGCGGCAGAGTGTGCGAGCCAGATAGAGAATGAATAGCGTGTCTCTGGCTGGGGAGGCGGGGGAAACAATTAAAAATTAAATTTCTTCATTCTGGCTATTATTATGATCTGATCTGATCCAAATTCGGCAATCTGGTAGATATGTTCATTCTCTACGATACTGCGTTTTTAGTTTTATCGTATCTTTAAAATTGTGCCTGCCACAAATTTTCGTCTTTTATGGAGTCGAAAGGGGGCGGGGCGAAATTTTGAAATACACTTGTAGCAGTATGATATGACATGAGTGTGGAAAAAAACTTAACGTCAGTGCACAAGTACAGAGCGGACCAATCAAAATCCCTAATGAGGTTATTAAGCTTCGTAAACTCGGCTTTACGAAAGCAGCGTACACGTTCAGATAGCCTACTCTTTAGATCCAATACAGTATGCCCAATATCGACCGACACTTCCAACTGTCATATGGTCTTTATCTGATAGCCAGGAAAAACAAGTTTTTAAAGAGGACAGGTGATGCTCTAATATTAAGACATCCGAAGACAGTGGAATATACGAGCAAGTAATGAAAATGGAAAATCCTGGAATAATCAGTTTTACGCACAGGAATTCCAGATCTTGTTGAACCTGGTCTACTAAATGTTCCGACGGGAAGTTCGAGTCAACTGCAATCAGAACGCCTTCTCGAGGAGGGGAGGTCGAGACGAACGGTCATTCCTAAAGGTTGTGTACCGACCTGCAAAAAGGATATCTGGCTTATTAAGAAGGAAGTTACTTTTTTGAGGGGCTGGAATTAGAGATTGGCCTGATTACTGGGGAGAGCTATAGGGGCCTTTTCTTCTTCTTAACCTTGTACTCTATCACAACCAAGTGCTCCGACCATAATTTTGCAGAGTTTCCAATAGTTTCGAATTAAGTAGGGGAGACGGTTATCTTATAGGAAGCTATCACCATGGCATAAGAAAATTAAATTTCTTCACTGCTAAGCTGATAGCTTTTGTTTTGTTTTGTACAAAAGCAGTTAAAACATTAGATGTGAGGTCAGGGTTCCCATTAGTGTTTGGGCACCACAGGCCTGTTACCCGTGATGGCAATATCCGGAGGTCCTGGACATCTGTTTACTGGTGGGATCGTGGGTGGGATGGTGGGATTACTAGGCGGAGGGGATAAATAAGTTGTTGCGGACTCTACGGAAGTTTCGATCTTAAGCATTAAAAATCAAAGTAAAGAATCTTAGCCAAAATGAACCCCTGATTCGTTTTTTTGTGTGGCTACAAGAGAAACTGGTTCCTTCCTCATTGACCTTCCCTGCCGTGAAATCTGCCGATGCGAGCTTTTTGGCTTCCTCGTAGGAACCGCAGTCGTTTTCTGACAGAACCACCGAGCTTGGGTGAAAACACAAGTAGTAGATTTAGGTTTGTCTTTTTATTTGGGGCGGCAAATTTAAGTCGCGTACACACAAAGCTGTGCGGGACCACTGACAGCTTTTTGAGGCAATATCAAAGAAATAATAAAACGGACACTGCTGCAAAGTTGGATGTCCTTTCACACAGTAAATAAAAAACTCGCATCGCTGCATATGTGGATACAGGTGTTGTCCGTAGGTTGGGCAATGGATGAACTCATTCCAAACAGCTACACCCGAGTTTATGTTCGCATTAGGAGCAGATGGATACGTAGGAGGATCCTCTTCCTGAGCACCCAACGTGCATTGGGCCCTCTCCGGTACATCGCACTTTCCAGTCATCGCATTCCAATGCAATTCCGAGCTGCACTCCTGCAGTATAGCCTGTCCATAATAGCAGATGTAGTAATTGCTACAGCTGCTGGAGCTTCCTATATAAATGATCCGATCGTTAGACTGCTGTTGCGTTAACGTGGCACAGTATGTAGCCGCATCCGAGATCATGTTGTTAAGATCGTTGGCACCAGCGTTCGGTGGAATTGTGTTTTCCATGCCGCTCTCTGTTCCGTTTCTACATCTCACATTTCCCGCTGTATCGCAGAGCTTGCTATCAGAATTAAAAAGCATTGTGGGTGGGCAGGAGGCCAAGACAGCATCACCGTTCTCCACGCACAGATAAAACATTTGGCAGTCTTCTGCGTGCTGCACAAATTCACCAACCACGTGATTGGCACACAAGCTTCCGCCATTCTGTCGTATGGTCACCGAATTAGTGGGTTTCCAGAGCTTCCAATTTTTCTGGGCCGCGCCAATACAGCTGAGCATCAAAATACTAGTAACTGCTGACAGTGGAAAGACAGGGATTATTTTAATTTACATTACATTATTGTATCTACTTGTATTGAACTTCATTGTTGGTTCGTGTGTCAAGCTCCAGTAAAGCGAAGTTGTATTCTAATATTGTAATACCCGAAGAACTTGGCATATATGCCATACAGGCGAAGTCTAGATACCTCGCCCTCAATATCAGAAAATTAACATTTTCCAGTGCGTGTTGACGAAGTCGATAACGGGGCCAAAACAACAAACACATCATTTTAGATACTATTTTTTTTGCAAAAAAAAAACGTTTCTTTACCTCCAACCAATCGACTGATGGCATTGAGAGGCAACACTCACTATTAATTTCAGAACCCTAACAAAAATGAATACCGACATTATACAAATACACCTCCAGGGGCCACTTTGGAGACATTGCAGTCCTCAAGTTTTTTGCCTTTTTTTCCTGTGAGAGAATATATAATATAATACAATTTATTTATGTATATATTTATTTATTGTTTAACCTGTTAGCCTTTGGTAATTTGGTTTATTAAACATTTCTGCCAATCCCGGCCGCTGCTTACTTCTCCTGGAAAAAATTTCACATTTCAGACAGGTTTAAAATATCCAACTATTGTATTCTTTAACTTTTTAGCCTCTTGCTTCTTTAACGACTCCTTCCAGCGAAAGCTTTTAAGGAACGTCACCCTATCTTCGCTGGCAAAAATTTTCACCAGATTTGTTTCGTGGATACTAAATACCGACGATGCGGAGCTACTGTCCGTGGTGCAGATTGTCTGCCTGGCAGACATCACAGGCGGTGGCAGTGTTGCGTCGGAGTGCTTCCGCCGTATGTGGCGGCTTATATTCGGTCAAACAGGCCTGTTACAGGCGGCACTCTAATGTTGCATTTAGTCTCTGAGTGTCTCTCCATTCCTTTCAGATTTTCGGTGTTAAACACCACCTGGCACTGCTTTCACTTGATATAGGTCAAAAAACGTGGATGGGTTAAAAAATTGTTTCTGCGAATATTGAATTTTTTAAGCATATTCGGAATGAAATCGTTTCATGTGCTTTGCCATTTGTCTCCCGGCATTAAACCGTGTACTGATTGTCGCCGAACAGTAATTACACACCGCCATATATGAATTTCCATTTCTCGCAAAGTGATCTTTAAGTTTTGATTGATAATCCCGTCGACGAGCACGAGGAATTGCGTGAATGCGTCTTTCTGCATCGCAATCGATCGGCTCGCTGACTGAGGGGCATCATCATTAGGAGGAGGTAACATCTCGATCACTAAAGTAAAAAGAGCTGGATTAAGTGGCTGCACAAAGCGTTGTCTAATCTAAGGACTTACTATTGAAATTCTTGTCCGAGTTGCGTGTTTCTGCATCGCAAATTCCGGCATCCTCCTGAGTCTCCACATCAATTGGTGGCCTGGTGGCAGGGCAAGAAGACTCTTTCACCTTGGCCAAAGCTGGCAAGGGGGACATTGTTTTCCGTCTTTTCATATCATTTTCATTTTCTGTCGATATGATATCCACTTCCACTGGAGTCTTTACACTTAAGTGATTTACAACGCAGTTTCACCTATATTATTTTCAAGCACCCTTGTTGATGCTACAAAATGTACTACTTTGTAGGTATGTATGTACATAGCTTGAAGTATATTTTTCTAGTTTCTTTAGTATTAATATCTGTAGGTTAGTCCGTCAACCCGGACGGCCCTCACGGTGCCACGCCCAGGCAAGCAGTCCCCTGGCGTCCTTCTCCTAACCCGTGAGAGAGCCGGGCAGTTGCAGATGAGATGTTTCAGGGCTTCAGTTGCCCCGGATTCATCGAATTTCCTGCAGTTGCCACTGTTAGTGATGCCTAGTTTGATTGCATGTGTCGTGGCCAGGCAGTGACCTTTAAGTATTCCCACTAGCATCCTACTGTCCTTCCGTGGTAGGTGCAGTAGGTAGTGGCTGAGTTTCCGCCTCTCTAGATCGCTTTGAAGCGTTCTGAGGGAGACAGGCACGTTCTCAATCCTGTCGTTCGCCAGCCCGACGCCTTCCTTAGCCGAACGTCTGCTGTCTCGTTACCTTCGATGCCCTGGTGGCTGGGAACCCAATATATCCGCACTGACTTTGTCGTGCTTAGGAAATCTAATGCCTGCTTGCCAGAACATTTTTGGAACTGAGCCCTGACGACTTCATAGATCTTATCGCCGCCTGGCGAAGACTTCCGCCTGAAATATGATGCATTGGTCCTTATTGGCTTATAGGACACCTAATCTCTGTACAATATATGCCCGCTCCTACTACTCCTTCTATCTTGGAGCCGTCTGTGTATATGTTTAGGTGTTCAGTCTGATCCCGACTCTCTTTTCACTCGTCGGGTCCCATGAGTGATGTTGTTTTGACGTCCAGGCAAGTTCGGGGGATCATGTAGTCAGATATACTGATCATGTCTCGAACTCAATCGAACTGTGCCCGAATCCTTGCAGCGTTACCTGATGTGTCCCCATGATGCAGAGCAATTCATGCCGCTACGTTCTCTCCATTAGCTTGTTGTACTTTTTCTTTTCGGTAGCCTGCCGCTCCAAACAAGACTCCAAACAGCAACAGCAAGGTCGCAACACCGAGATGTAGATCCAGTGCATTAGAGCAGGTGACAGGCTCCATGTGCTGCTAAGCATTTTCTTGGATGCGTATAGCGCAATGGTGGCCTTCTTCACCCTTGGGGTGTGCTGTTACTCAGTTGCTAGGTCGTCGTGTCGCTTAAGCTGACTCTGTGTGGTAGGTCGCTTTGATAGCAACTTCTGGAGTCCAGCCGTTTCTGGGACTTTCTTGATCTTGGAACAGAAGTTTCAAAACGAGTTTCTTTGTGCCCTGCGTAATTCCTTCTTGTAATCGCCGAGTAGGATTTTGTATTCCCCATTGATTATCTCATCATTCGTCAGTTTGGCGATTTTGAAAAATTATCTGAGGTTATTCCTTTGAAGCGATAGGTCCCGGTTCCACCAGAGTGGGTTGGTCCTCTTTTTTGTTCCCGAGGGTGGGCTGGATGCGTGGTACGTATCCAGTATTTCCATGGTTAGGATCTCGAGGGAGGTCCCTATGTCTTGCGCGGATTTCACTGTGCCCGGGCGAGTCGAGGTAACTGTCTTTTTAAACTTTTCCCAGTTTGTGTACCGGGGGTTTCTATAGACAGATATCATTGGAAAGTATTTGAATTCGCACTTGAATTGAATGTAATTATGATCTGAGAAGTATGGTTCAAGAACTCTCCAGCCAGATACTAAATTGTTAGATCTAGCACCTTAGACGCGACTTTACTTTTATGAAGATTGAGCTGCAGCACTCTCACTGTCATGTGTGGCCACCGGTCACAGTCCTCTTCCGATGGTGTCCAGACCTAGATCCTTCTTCACCTCGCCTGCCTGCAAGGTCTGCGCGTCCTTGTCCTCTGGGTGGCGCTTCTTGAGGCGCAGGTGTACGCTACCCATGCCCCACGCCGTCTTCCTGAACCTGGGGTAGAGCAGATCATCCGCCTCCTTGCTGATCAGCAGAATTGCACATTTGCCCCCTCTTTGGGTATTGGGCTCCCAATGTGCAGAACCTTTCAGTTCGCCGTTGGCACGTCTAGATTTTGCCGTTGTAGGAGCTTCAGCGCACCGTCCCCTTGGATTGCGACGGGGAAAAGTACCCTCGCATTTGGTATGGACGGGGTTAGCTCCCTGTCCCCCACTTCCAGTTTGTCCCCGTCCCACTTCGCCTCCGATTGGCAGACTGTTTGCGTCAGCCACCTCAGCGTAGGGTCATCCATACATTTGAGTATTTTGACCCCGTTTAGCCACCCAGCACCATCGAACGTGGACATGGGTCCCCTTCCAATCAAGTGAACAGCGCATCCACTAGCCGCGCGTGCATCGTCTTCCACCGCGCCGCCATCATTTTGCCGTTCTCGTTGCTCGTCAAATGTCGTTTGGTCTCCTCATTGACCTTCGCCTTGGGTTTAGGCCTTTTGGGTGGATGTGCCGCCCCCTTGGGCCGCTCAGAGGTGTGACCGCTGACACGCAGAGATGATTTCTCCTCCCCGTGCCCGCCGGTGGTAGCAGTCACGCTTTCCACCGACGTTTGGGCTGACATCCTAGTCCCTGTTTGATCCTTACTCCGGTCCATGTGGTTTATATGTATCGGCGGGACCACCCCCTAGCGTTTTATGCCTACCCGCCAGGCACCTCCAGCCATGGCCATGGTTCAGTTCCCCCAATTTTAGGTCGCAAAATGCATTTTCGCCAGCCCTAATATCTGTGAGTCCATTTATTTTTTCTAAAACTATTTTGATGTGAATACACAAAGGGAATTTTACAATCAAACAATATCCCCAACGCTTAAAGTACATACTAAAGTTTTATTATCCTTCAAATTGCCTCTGGTTATAGCACTTGGCCTGGCTAAGAAGCACGCAGGATCGTTTCTCATGGTCCCAGCCATAAAAGAAAGGACACTGCTGTACAATTAGATATCCCAGACGACATTGGTAGAAATAATTGCAATTATCTGGATGGGGATAAATATCCATTGTATGCCTTTTGCATTGCTCCCGGGGATTATTTGTTGTCGCCTAAAATAATACATAATTGTTTAAGTCATTTCCTATAGAAGTAAATCTTTCATCAAACCCACCAGGCATCGCACACTCTCGGGATGATCGCATTTTCCAGTGCGTGGATTAAAATGCAAAGTGGCCGCACAGTTCATGGGATACGGTTCTCCCTGATAACAAACATAGTAGTCCGTGCAAGACTTTTGATTTGCTATTAATATGATGAGGCTTTTATTATCCTCTCGGGGGCAAATATTGGCCACAATTATCTCAACATTTGGGGGAAAGATTGTCGTGCTGCTGCCAGGTCCATCGCCGGATGTTGGTGGTGATGTAACGTTCAGCGAAGTGGTATTAAGAGTCGTGGATGCTATGGTATCGCCCACTAAAATCGATTCAGTATTGACCACTATTAAGTTATCTGTACTAGACTCTAGTCCTGATGTGTTTTCTGTCTCCACAGCCATTCCTGTGCGACAATCAATATCGCCCATTGGCTCACACATTTCTGTACCAGAGCTGAAGTATTCGCCATCAGGGCATTCACCATCATATGAATCATTTCCGTTACAGAAAATGTAGTGTGCACAGCTCTTTGGAGAGGAAATAAATCCCATTTCACTCCCATTGCACTCCTCGAAATCGTCCGCCTGACATATACCAAAAAGAAAGACCATTAAAAATAAGAAAACACAAAGCTTTGACATCTTCTCTGAATCGTTTCAAAAAGTGAACTGCTCATGTTACTGTGTAGTCAAAGGGGTTTTCTTCCCGTCATTTGAGACATACAAGAATTTAATTTGCTTAAGAACACGGCTGGTATCTTCTTTATTAACGTCTCTCTAAGGAATCTTACATGAATAGCCGTATCATATGATAAGGTTTTGTCGCAATACATTGCTTTTGTACGGCCTCGAAATGAAAATTCTGCGGGCACTGCTGCAGAAGTAGATAACCCGCTATACATTGATAGTAGTAATTACTATTGGCCGGATAAGGATAGACGCCGTTTCGGCCGCTCGTCTTGCACATTACATGTACATCGGTGCTCGGAATGTTTGTTACTGCTGCTGTTGAAGGGGTATATGATGGGCTAGGAGTGGAAATCGTTGGGGTAGATTTTTTATCTTGCTTGGGGTCTTCCGGTGCGACAGGTTCTGATGCAGAGGGAATGGAGATTTCTGCACTGGTTTCTTCCATTGCACCATAGCAATCAATAGGTTCCCAGCAATCCCCATTGCAATAGTAGGAATCATCTCCATTACAGTGAACAAATTCGCTGCACGCCTGGTTAGGATTTGTCACCTTATTAATGATGACTCCCTGGCATTCTTGTAGAAATGCCGCCCGCACCTGATGGGCAGGCAGCAGGCAGCCAAAGACTATCAACAACTTCCACATATAGGCTTTCAACTGTTTTCATCTTCCAGGTCAGGGCCTCCTTTATAGGTGGGAATCCGGTTCGGTTTGCTTGTTAATTGATAAGGCTCTAAGCTCAATTTATTTGCTAGCTAAATTGATTTTATTTGACATGACACGGGGCTAATTAAAAATGTTTTCTTTACTTCGGCTCTCTACTTCAGTGTACAGTCCATGGAACTCCGTATACGCCCACCACAAGCTCCAGTTGTGGCATCGAATGCATATCCAAAGGGACACTGTTCCACAAGTAGAAAGCCATCTACGCAGTAGTAAAAGTAGTTACAGTTTTGGGGATAGCTGAACCTTTTGGTTACACCCTGACGACACTGCTCTCGTACGTCCAACGGCGAAGCTGTGGAGAGAGTCGTATTCGACGACTGTGACGTTGACGTTGATGAATTAATAGGCGAAGCTGTTGAAGTATCCAAAATAATTGTCTCGTTGCAATTAAAGGCGACATTGCAAGTGCTGTTATCTACACAAAACATCGAATCCTGGCCCGAGCAGTTTATATAAGCATAGCTGCAGCTGGGCCGCGTGTTGTTTATGAATCCAAATTGGTTATTACATTCTGTAATGCTTAGGCCATGGATGCCACAGGTAATAACGGTAATAACGCCACAAGCGATCAGTCCAAAGTCAGAGAGCAAAGAGGGCCTCATTGTCGATCTGTATGGATGTGGGGTTGTGTGCTAAGGTTTTTATAGTCAACACTGTTCAGCCGGTGGCAATCAAGATATTTGAAATAAGTTATATTTAATTAAACGACTCTTGTCCCGACAACACAGTAACTTATCAATAAATATCCCTCTTATCTCCTAGGTTTACACATCTCCATTGAACTTAAATGAGTTTTTCTGGCTGTTTGTGGTTTCCGGTCTATGTTTATAATCGCCGGGAACTTCCATAGCATTTCGCCACATTTATCTGCACACAACTCCTTCGTTCGATGTCCCAGCCATAGTAGAAGGGGCACTGCTGGATTGTCAGAAATCCCTTGATGCAGTAATAGAAATAATTGCATTTGTCTGGGTGCGGAAAGAACTCTGTCATATGGGGTAGGCATTTGTGAGCCCGAGGATCTTCCAGCTGGAAAGATAATTGAATTGAATAAATTGAATGGTAAATCCCAGCTTGATCGATGTCTTTCACTAAAACCTACCTCACACTGAACGTTCTCCGCATGGTCGCATTGCCCAGTGAGTGCATTGAAGTACAACTGGTTGGTACAGTGCATTTCTATGGCATGTCCGTGATAGCAAAGATAATAATTTGAGCATGATTCGTTGCTGGCCATTAATATGACCTGGCTGGGATCGTCGCTGATTGGACAATTAGGCTTTACCACTGGCGCAATGTTAAGGATATCCACTTCGCTTGGCTGATCCACCGTAGGTGCAGGATCGGTTGGAGGTGGCGTGGCTGTTGTAAAGTCTTCCTCTTCTTCCTCTTCCGGCTCCTGTTCCGCGCCAGACTCGTCGACTTCATCCAGAAAGCATTGCACGTTGGCGGCATCATCACAGCCCCCCGACTCGGCATCAAAGTATTCACCATCATCGCAGTCGCCCTTCAACGAGTCCTCGCCCATGCAATACACATAAGACTGACAGCTATCCAAACTCTGGACAAACGATTCGTCTGCCATTCCATCACATTCATCAAAGTGATCTCCATGTGACTTGCCGCTCCACACCAAAACTAGGCAGAGGTACGATAAATATTTGGACATTTTTTGGTCTTCAGGTAAGTTCTTCAACTGAGGGTGCCCAGCAGCTTCTCCATTATATTTATGCGGATATTTTTGACACATTTGCCGAAAATACCAGTGCAGACATGCATTTCATTTTAGTCTAATTGAATACTGTTTTATCGGGAGACCTTCAAGATATGTATCTTTAGACGACTACCAGTGAGGTTCATTGTATTACAAAATATTCTAGTCGGCATGAATCACCTCAGCATACCCGTACAGCAGGCCGTGCTGCTTCTCAACTGTTTTCTATTATGTCATCATTTGCGTGCAGACCAGACTCTCTTCCACATTACATATGAAGTTCGATGGTGCCACTTCCACTCATTTTGCTGAATGGTTTACATAAGCCGCAAAACTTAAAAATTCATATTCACTCTGTTCCCGCACAAATACACTCTTAGACGAAGTCGCAAAAAAAGCGTCAAAAGCGTGAAAGACAACGTAACAGAAATCGTTGACCTCAGCAAACGCCGCATTATCCGTATTTTGAATATGGATAGCCACAATCGAAGGCACCAAGCAAGCACACATGTACAGTTGTGGTCAAAATAATAATGCTACAAATGGATTTACATATTGCTAATTTTTCCCCTATTCCTTCAACAATCGAATTTGTTTCTTTACTCATACAACTATTAAGCATTGCTGTCCTTGATGACAAAGTAACACTAGCGTTTCCCGTTTCTTTCGAGATTTTTCGATAAATATCACCATTTCGATGCGGTCAAAATAATAGTAGTGCTACCGAAAATTTTGAAATCTACTGCATTTTATTCAAAACTTTCGTTGTTAAACCATACTTGAATGGTTTATTTAACAGTTTCAAGCTTTTTTAGTTTCGTTTTTGGTCATTAGGTGCGGTGTCACGGGGCGTGGCAAACACTCTAGAGCGGAAAAGCGTTCGTGCTTAAACGGCTCGTTTCAGTAGGAAAGTAATATTTCGAGATGCTTAATACTATTGGTAGTTTAGCTATTCTGATCAGAAATGATAATAAATAAGAACCAAAAAACAAAACGCGCGATCAATGAAGTTATTTGGCAAAATATCAGTACATCAACTATTACGACAGGCGAGGGGACACCATTTTGCTCCTGTTTCAGCCTTAAAAACAATGTTTAATTTTGCATGCAGTATTGAAACCATTAGAAGAAACGTTAAAGATTATAATTTAATGGTTACGATCATCTGAATTTACCCCAAAATATACTTGAAAAACAGTAAAAACTGCGGCTCCTTAAACAATGGTTTGGCCGAGTTTTTCCTCGTCATTCATATATTCAAATATCGACCGAAATGATTCTACCTTATGCATCTGAGATATGCAACTTATTTTGACGTCCCAGAAGGACAACGATCCGAAGGACAGTCGCAAAGTTGCCACTGCGAATAGAGTAAATTCATTCGAATGGTCGGATCGATCTCAATCTAATAGAGAATGTATGGTGTAATGTGAAACGAGAAGTCTCATAAATAACACAATCAACTTTTGGGACGTTTTACAAAGGTCCTGGAGGACGATTTCAGCAGAAAGGTGCCAAAATTTAGTAAGCTCCATGCCAAAGTGTTGTTAATTTCGAATATACAGTTTTTATATTGGATATAAAAAACACTTTTAGAGAGTTTTGTTAGACCGTGGTCTTTTTTGAAAAGTTGCACTACTATTAATTTGACCGACCCGTTTTTGAAGTACTTCAACATTTTAATTATACCCGTACTCAAAAAAGTGATGTATTTATGGTAAAAGTGGATGTGTGTATCGCAGAGAAGGAAACGTTTCTGACCCCATCAATAGCCGAGTCGAGAGACTATAAGAGCTAGAACAACCAAATTTTGTTTCCAGACTCATGTGATTTTACACAGCTACAAGTGTATTTCTGAAATGTTGATGGTTTGCTTTAAATGGTTTTCTATTATTACAATTTGGAATTAAGGTAGTCTCTAAAAAAACAAAAAACTTCTTTGGGGATGTGCTCGTAAGTCTTTTTTTTTTTGGGAAATATGAAATGTCATGCTGTCCCTACTATTATTTTGACCGCAGCTGTACATATGTAATAGCGTGGCTCGACTAAGAGATACCCTGATATAATTCACAAATGAATATACATCTGTAAGGCACATAAAGAAAGATGGAACGCCGTAGAGTATACCATTATTATGACCCAAAAATGTGGTGCAAATTAATGTCCCACACTAGTTAATTTCGCAAAAAGGATAAAGGAGTAGAGTACCCAGAGTTCGACCCTGTGTTTCTTTTTTCTTTCAGGTTTTGTTATGATATAAATCACAGAAACCTGCGATTTGCCTGAGGGTTTTTGCTTCTTCAGTTTTTGACTATTATTTGCACGATCATTGCGGAGACTATCGAGTGGAGTGGATCGGCTGGGACAATTTGCACAAATTCTAATTTATTGTCAAGCATTTCCACCGACGATAAGACATAAATACGCTCTGCTGAGCTGGTCAGCTTTATCGTGCACCTGTAAGAGGAAAGAAAATAAAAAAAAGAGTTTAAAATAAAAATAAACACAAACCAACACGAGCACAGGTACAGATACAGGTAAGAAGTGGAAGTTCTATATAAAAGTATTTAAACAAGTGCAAACGTAACCAATCTTCTTTGTTGTACTGGCTTTTGTGCTATAGACATTTCTTATAAGGGATATTTGCCTTAAATGCAATCGACTGATGAACGGGAACGGATGACGGAAAGATCGATCGAGCCAGAACAAAAGAGACGAGACGGGCACGGCACGGCACGCTGACGATATGTGGATTCAGTTGTAAAGACGTCGAAATGTCTGCTACGCTGCCTCATATTTACCTCCACTCACAGAGGCTCGTATGCTCGTACAGTACGCACATGTTTCGATCTGTGAACTGTATACTTAATTTACAATCCACATGTGCATTTATTTACAGCCGTGTGTATATCCACCGTTTACAGATACCTTTCATGAAGCCAAAACAAGTGGTATGAAAAAAAACGATGACAACGATGAAACGATCTACTACTCAAAATGACGTGAGGAAGAGGAGCAGCAGTGAGATCATTTATTATATTCGGGGAAAAGTATGTGTGAAGGGTGTCCGCAAAAGGTAGGTTAGGTACAGAGGTAGGTACAGAGGGGGTTTCATAGTGATAATGATAAACTAGGTCAGAAAGTACATACATACATATGTACAATGTATCTCCCCTTTTGTCTTGCTAGCTAATTTGGCGAAAAAAACGACCTGATACTCATAGATAGGATAGCAGTTGTAAGAATCTTACTTACAATTTCCAAATTCAGTTGAGAATCCATTATGTTGCTCGATTAGGTACAGACTGTGCATTACTTATGGCAATGAATTACTTCTGGTAATATGGTTAGGCTAATTGAACATATTCATATATTTTTAGATGCCTTGCCATATGTACATACGTATTTCTTTTTTGCATATTACTGTATTATTTTGCACAGAAAGGCAGCTAATTATAGTACATATGTACATACATATGTATGTACATATATTATTAAGCAAGAGAGTTCGAGTTGTACACAATACCAAAAGCTGGGTAAGATAAGACCCCCAGGAATGTTAGGGAGCGACTCATTCTTCCACCGTGATAGGCAGTTCCTTGTGTCCTGTCCTCGAATCCTTATCGGGCAAGATTCCCCAGAAATATCAAAGAGCATACAGTTGTAGCCTGAGAAAGCATTTAAAGCTCGGGTGGAGAGCGTTCAACTTTCTTGAGCAGTAATTTTTTATACGGGGTTTACTATTACGAAAGCACGGCAAGAAATATTTTCAGGGATTTCTGTACTTGTGATAAGAGGAATCACCCGCAATAACAAAAATTCATTCATAGGGGAAGTTGTTAAATTATCAAGCCAAAAGGCATGACAGCAAAGGAATCTAATCAAAAGTTGATGGCATAATGCTAAATTATATTTTAAAGAAAATTTCAAGTGCAGATTAAATACTGCCAGAGATAAATAAGAAACGAGCCACTAACGAGAGTGTCCAAACCAAGAGACGCCGCCCCACATTCTACTTTTCGCTCAAAGGCAGCTTGTACCTTGCATCTTTACATTTCCAGGGAACTCTCTGCTGCTCACACACCCATCCACGAATAGACATTATAATGTGATTCACAAATCAAATAATAAATACATATCAAAATACATACACACTAAGCATGTACAATGTACATATAATAAAAAGAAGCAAAATGAAGAAAAGTAAACGAGAAAACGTCAGTGGCGAAAAATGTTTGTACCAACGCCATGCGATACAAATGTATTTCTCTCTTTTTCTCTCTCTCTCTCTCCGTCTCTATATATATGTGTATATATGTAATTGTATCTACATATACTCGTATGCTATATAACTGTAAAAGCCACTTGAAGCGAGAAGCTCGCGATCGGCTATTAAGAGAATAAAAGAGAAGCGTAGAGCCAAGCTAAGAGAATCGCTTTCGGTATTTCAGTCTTGCAAATTAGGGGGCGGATTAGGGTTTGGTTTCGAAACCCATTTCCAGAGTCTGCTTCTCTGTAAAATAACCGCCAGGCAAATCCTATACAAAGTCCGGCTCGAGTCAAGCAACCCAACAGAAAGTGTCCCTCCATTAAAGAGAAAAATGTGAGATACAAATATACGGGTTCAAATGCGGCCAGCATGACGAATTATTACACACACTTAATGTACAATACAAGCGCTCACACATTCGTCGCAAGCAGTGTATGCATATACACTCGCACACAATGCACATTAATGATTTTGATGGGATCGCGGTTCAAATACATGTATGTATGTATGTACAATATGTCATACATACATACATATGTACATATGTATAAGCAAACAGAATGTACATAGTGTTCCTGCGAATGTTTTTGATACAGTAATTTGACGAAAGCTAAGGTCAATCAAAATGGTAATCTAATATCCAGCAGCGGCCTGCAATAAACTCTTTTCCGTCCAACATATGTAAATTCCTACGACTATGTACTTTCATAAAAAGTTTTCACATTTCATGTTCATATTTTCTTCTCCTGGCAGGCCGAACTGAAAATTTAAAACTAAAAGCAATAATTAAGGAATATCACAAGGACTGGTGTTGACCCCACCGAAAAATGAAGAAGAGTGTCCCAAGAGCGTCATCATCATTAGAAAGTGGTTCTGATTTATGTATACACACATTCATATCTCACTGTGCCTTCTTTCTGTTCCGCTCATGAATCCGAGTGTTCGATTATGTGGAATTTTTCAACCGAATCTAAACTTAGTAAACTCGCTTCGCTTTACTATTAAAGCTATTTACAATGATAATTGGGGAATTTGACGTTTTAAAATATAAAATTACTTGTTCCCAAAGTTCTTCTCAACACAGATCATTTTTTCAATGTTTAATGCTGGGTCATGTTGGATACAGATGGCATTAATGGGGCTATTCCGAACCTAATCTATTACAAAAGCATTTTGTCATAGTGTAGTTGCCATCGTCTGACGGTGTATCTGTATCTCTTGCCCAGGCACAAGCAGCTTTAAACCGGATCTTGCTTCGAAAGTACATCACTTTATGCCGCCTCTGACGTCGCTGCTGCAGTCCGTCCCCAAATCCGGCAACGGCTTCAGCCTTCATATGACAAAGCAAAAGGCTCAGCTATCTGTGGACTGCACATGTGCATAGTGTTGACAAGATCAACCTATCGCAAGACTAGAGCCGGCCAAATCAAATACCAACAAAAAATCTAAAATAAAAAACAGGTTAACAAATGTTACCGCAACGCAGCGCAGCGCGTCGAAAGAAACTTGTTTTCCTTTCCTATGCGAAGAGTCTCGGCTCGACGTCAAAGCCGGCTTACATTCACTTTGGACCAGCTCCAAAGAGCGTGAAAGTTATCCAAAGAGATCGTTTTCTCTTTAACTCAATGAAATATATACATATAATATATGTATGTACATATAATCCACTTTAAATCGTAATAAAATGTATGTAAGTAAAAGGGTTGAAAACAGTGTGACCGCGGAAATCAAGAATTTTCATACTTTAACATAATGTAACGTAACGCTGATTTTGATTAAATTTACCTCCGAAAAAATTCGTTCCCTTGGTGCACTTTCTATAATATTTTAACCTGTTATTGTAATATTGCATGCGTTTTATTTTCTGGGCCTCTTTGCCTGTTGTCCATACCCTCTTTTATCCCACCGTTTTTTTTTTAAGCACAAGGGGTATTAGCCGAACGAGGTGGCGCTTGTGGACAGCAACATGTTGCTAGCAGCATGAGCCGTAAAAATGGGCATTCGTAGCCAGAAAATGGAAAAAATGGTCTCACAAAAATTTTAGCCGCGAACAATGAAACAACAGAAATAGTGTCGAATTTTGCTACGAAATCTAGTTCCGTGGATTCCACAAAGCTATCCATATTTTTGACAAAAAAAACCAAATGATATATAATTTATCAAAATAAAATATAGTTTCGTGTTTGGATGCGGTCGCACTACCGGTACTCAAATTATTAATAATATTAACCACCCGTATTAAATGCCATTATTCATGGGCCCGGCAAATCCACTGTACCATAAACACAGAGCATTCGAAAAAAATTAGTTTAACTCAATTTAAATCGCAATCCAAAACAAGACACGGAAAAAAAGAAATCGAATAAATTAAATCAAATCGAAAATAATAATTTTCATAAAAAACGAGTGTTTTCGAAACGGAAAAAAGTTAATAATCCAATCAATGTTTAAGAAAAATATACTAAGAGGCGAAAAAAGCATGCAACAAGTTGAATTCGGCCGCAAGTTGTAAACCAAGTTAGATCCGCACACAGATACACACTAATGCATACGTGAACGAATGCCCGGCCCGGAACACACTGACACACACAGTCACAGAGAGAATCACACAGCACACACACTCTTACAAACGAACACACACACACACTCAGCCCATAACAATGTCAAGTGAAAACATTCTCTGGACGCAACAGGTTTCCCCTTAATAAGTCATCGCGCAGAACTGTTCGCTCGAAAGAGAAAAGGAGAAGAGAAAAGAAAAGAAAAGAAAAGAAAAAGAGGAGCGCTAAGAGAAAATATAAAAAAATAAATAAAAACGAATTCAGGCAAAGAAAATTATAAAATTCTATGAGAGTAATATAATAATAAGCATTAAGCAGAGGTTCTTAAGTGGGTTAGCATACGACAGAAGTGGAATCAAATCATCCCGAAAACCCAAACGGCAGATCAACAGTTCTTAGATCGCTTACAAAAAATTAACCTTAAAGAACCATGGAATTCTACGATGGCGACCTCAAAGATATATGGGACTCCGACTTAGATCCGGTGAGTGTTTAATTTATTAGCAGGGCATGCGTCTCTGTTTCGATTGATACTTGAGAACTTTTGTTACAGAAAATATGCTTGATATAAACCAAAAGTAGGTAGTATATGGGGAAAGCTAAGAGCGAACACTTAAGTGACGCGATAAGGCAATGTTCGTCTACATTCTACGAGACACGAGTATTTATACACTTGTATTGGGCTTACTCACCGCAACAGATGTGGAAATATTTCTCTTTTAGCATTTGACTATTTGCCCGAACTGGATGAACTCTTTGAACTGTAATCCCTGACCGGAGACACGTTTAGTACAAGATTATTAAGTCATTTTTGTTCACATTTTAAGGTTTCAAGTTTCGTGTTTCCACAAAAACGAAATTGCATTTAAAAATCCAAAGAAAACATTTTAATGACCCACATTAAGCTTATCAGTTGGGGGGGGGAAACGTGAACTTATTCATGAGTTGAATGCAAAGTTGATGATCGATTGGAAACGTAAGAAAAAAACCAAGTTAAGTTGTGGTCCCTACTGATAGTTTTTCTTCTTTCTCTGCATATTAAACAGCTCAAATTTGTATGTGTGCGCGTTTACCTAAGAGAACTCCAATCTCAAAGCAGCCCCTCGAACAAACCTGTCTCTGTCTCAAAGCAGACCCATAAAAATGTCCGCTCACCAACAGACCGAATACAAAAATCTAATCGAATTGCCCGGCTACCAAACATCAGACACCTAAATATACAACACACCCAAAAGGTTGGGTCTCTTTGTCTATTGACTCGTTACTCAAGAAAACTTTCGCAAAATAGCTAGATATGATATGATATGAGAGAACAGGGGAGAACAAAACAGAACCCGCAGACCGTCATGGATCGGTGGGGAAAGGCAACGACGCTCAAGGCCTTTATCTGAGCAGCTATACTCCTCCGTTTTAGGAAGAAAAGGCAATTTTTAGTGACTTTCTGTGTTCAAATATATCAATTTACATGGTTTTGATAACAGTCGAGTATACAAGTTCGTAACTTAGAAGTTTCGCTGTCCTACAAAGTTGTTTTGTGTTGAACGATAATGATAATTGGAGTTTTCCAAGAAATTAAAAGAAATTTATCATTATCGAGCGATTCCACCCATTTCTGTTTTGTATTTCTCTATCGCCCCCACACAACAATCTAGCAGTAGAAGTAGAAATGTTTCGATATAATGAAATGTACTTGTATGCGTGCTGGTGCTGCGGCTGCGTTGAGCTTCGTTTACGGAGTAGAAAAGATGTCGACGACGTCGTCGTCTATTGCTTATCGCTGCGGAAACAGTAATGAGTACATGTCGTCCGTCCGGCCATCCAGCCAGCCAGGCATCGGCATCCAGCCCCTGCCTTTCACTGGTATTGCCTGTCCGTCTTGTAGGGGAAGCATGCTGAGGCACAAAAGAAGAATCTATTACGGCATGCGCGGAGGACACATGGAGCGTTGATAAGCGTTCGAGCTAGTCGGAGGCGCCGCTATCAGCTGGTCTAAATGCAAAGTAATGACTTTTTCGCTTGCTGCTGCTGCTGTTGCACTTTGCGGCGTGTCAACACGGTACACGGTACTGTCCGTCAGTGTCATTACTATTCGGAAGATAATGTGCCCCGACGACTACCACTCGAATCTACTCTACACGACAATGTAGACGGAATGACAGAAATAGGCCCGCTACCCGGGAAAATACGCGCGTATCTTGTTTTTTTTTTTGTGTGTGTTTCCGCCGTAAGCTCTACAATATAGCAGTGTATCCGAATGCAGTTTTCTCGATGTATTTGTGAGTGTATTAAATGTGTGCATATAACCCGAATGGATTGATCTGTGTGAAAAGTCTTTGTTCCAATACTCTTTCTCAATAAGGTTCAGGATCACTCCTCTGTAATCTATTCCTGGGCATGATAACCAAGACAGATGAGTACGAGTATACTATGGCCATTCGGTCCCTCATTCCTATCCCTTTCTCATTTTAGCGTATTTTAATAATACCTATATATTATCATATCAAAGTCTCTTCAGGCATATCAAGAATAAGAATCTTATCAAAAAGTATTTTGTAACCAAAAAGCAAAAGCGAAAAAACAGATAAGGACTGAAATGCTTAGTTTTGATTAGGTTAGCGCACCACTTTCCACTTAAAAAGGGGGGACAAAAAATATAAATGAATAATAATTATGATTCCCTGAGGTTTTTCCCCATAACAAACAAACTAAAAATAGTTTGACTTGCCGATAATCAGTTTTAATAAAAGGGAAATCAAAACAAAATATTTCAAAAAGGTAAAAAATTGGCCAGAACGGGACATGGTTGTCAGGATTTATGAGCCCTCCGATAATGTCACGTGTATTGTCCAGCCGAGATTCCGATCATTGATATCACCCCCTTCCCTTTCATTACGAGATCTTTGAGTGCTTCCCCTATCAGTTGAATGCCTGGAAGAGTTCCCAGAGCAAAGTCATCATTAATGTGTCTCGCAATCGCTGTATTCACCCTTACATATATTGTGTACATATACACACATATGAACGTGTGTATAAGATCAGCGGAACTTCGTGGAAATCGATTGGTAGGGAAAAAACCAGCAACTGCTTTGATCGCTGTGTCAGGTCATTCAATCTCTGGGGTTTTACATGGAAAGACGATTCTGACGAGTTTCCTAAGCAAAGCACTTCCAGTTCAAACAATGTACATTTTCAATCGAAAGACTTTTGTATATTTTTGGTCCATTTGGGTGATAAGAAATATACATTTTTGCTACCGAAAGCTAAAATGATTTTTTTAAACTTTACACATCTTGATGATAAGGGGCGACCAAAGCACATGGAAACAGGAAAAGTGCCTCATTGGCGGATTTCGAACCATGCTAATCTTCTCTATTACTGTATGAACATGCATACATTCTTCTATTTAGGGAAGCGGAAAAAGAAAAGGGTTTCGTTAAAGAAGAAAGAACTGAAATCTGAAATGAAGACAAAAGAAGGTTAACGTAGAAACGGAACTTCGAGGCAATCGCCTCGAACAACAGAAACAAAGTCCAGACAAACTGTGAATGCTTAGCCGTCAAAAATGATTACCTTGGGTCTACGGCGAAGAAAACTGCAAATAAGAAAAACTGCAGTCCCCTTCACATAATAATGCTGACCAACGTCAAAGCATTTCGACTTTCCTAAACGTTGTTATGGCCAAAACGGAGAGGGGTAGAGCGGGAGAGCAGCCATAAAACCAAGTTGGTTGTCTGCATGCTAAGAAGTCAGCAACTTTTTCGTCGTCCATTTAGATAGAGACAAAAAAACGTATTCATAATGCTAAAATTTAACATTTCTAGAGCTTTTTGTGGGCTAACTTTCGCTTATATAAGCAGAAAATGGCAGCAAGTCGCCGAGAAAAGAACGTACGTATGTATTGTCCGTGCATAATGATATTAACTATTAAGTGGAGTCAATTTGACACCCTTTATGGTCCACCGTGCACCACTGTGCATGCAAATGTGCAACACGTTGAGGTTAGTTTTAAGTTTCTAACGGCTTAGTGCATGGCCCGCTAGTTAAAATGCACACGAGAACGACAAAACAACGGAAAACAACAAAACTTAGAAAAAACGTGCTTGGCAACAGTCTTCGTTTCGACTCTCGACTCTCGAGAGCAGCATATTTGAATAACTAGTTCGGGCCATGCACGATACTTTCAATATGGTCTATAAGTCGATATTCATGGCTCTCTGTGGCTGTGTCTGTGTGTGTGTATTGTATATTGCTTAACTTTGACATTTGAGCGTTGCAATCTGCAAAACAGGTTAACACACACCAATCCAAGCCAATGCAGAGAAGCGGGAGACTATTGCAAATTTAGCGCGCTCCAGCGGCACAATTTCTATGCCAAAAGTCGTAACATATGGCGGGCCCACAAAAAAGCGCGCATAATTAAATTTGTGCAAGCACGACACCCTCTCCCATCGCCCACATACTAGTATCAGTTTACGTAGTGTGCCCCTCCTCTCTCCGTTAAAGTCCACGGCCATTCCGCTCCGTTCGCGTCCATTCATGCGAGTTTTTCCACGCGCTGCGTCAAACAGGATGCGCAGTGTCCACACGATTCTCTTTGCCTGGCCTGGCTCTCTCTTGCAAGGCTCTCTTACCACTGGCCAAGAGTGGGCGGTTGGCAGTCCGACAGCTGTTTGGGCTGTGTTTTTCTGACGTCAATGTCAGGACGGCGCGAAGTGGTTGTGGCAAGCCAATATGTGAATTATCCATAGACTTGCATCGTGACTACAATATGCTCCAACCCCAGGATGAAAGAGAGTTTTCTTCGGGGGCTAGCTGGGTGTTTGTGTTGGCTTTGGTTGGATGATTGGATGAGTACTAGTCGTGGGCGTAGGAACATATTGTGAGCGTTAATGAAGTGTTATACGATAAGTGTAACAGCAGGCATCTGGTGGCAACAGTTGGACGCATATTACAGGCAAGCAAACAAAGATATTCAAGCTTTCCCAACAAAAACTTAAAGTTTGAACAAAAGTAGTTTCCGCTAGAAAATTCGCAAGTGTCGCAGGGTCAACCCTATTTATCTACACATCGTAATAATGTATCAAAGACCATTACAGTGTCATATGTTAAGGCCTATAATATCGTAATTACCCAGGAACAGCACATTTGTCAGGTTTATCTTTCCAAGAAGCCTTGAAAGAGAATACATTCTGGGCTTTCAAATAAGGTCGGCTCTGACTCATCCATGAGCATTGCTGAATCGGTTTTGGCTGTTTGGCATACTCGTACAAATGCAGATTTGACTTTAGTCGTGCTCTTTGGAGGAGTCGGAGTCTTTGACGGAATTTGATCTGTATTGGTCTCTCCTTTTTACAGTCTTTCATTTTTTTGTGTTTTTCTGTTTTTGGTTACTTTCACATTGGTTTCAGTTTGCCGAATAGTTGTTGGGGCCGTCAGACGTGCCGCGACCATACGACTGCTTACGTACTTTCTTCATTCCTCATACATAAACTCAGGCAGAGGCAAACATACATAGCACTCGTAGGTTGTTGATAAGCTAAGTCCGCATTGGACACACGCCTCCCACGCTGCACCCCGTCCTCTGTCTATGTCACACGCTAGAAAATACAACTATGATATGGAATTTTGTGATTGATTCAGGAATATAAAAACATACATATGTCTGTATATTTTATTTAGTTGCGATGTAGCCAAAATGCGAACTGAAACTAGTCATTCTATGAATACTTAAAAAGTAGTTACTATTAAAGGTGATGCTAATGCTTTTTGGGTGCCCTCTCTCACTATGTTTAATATGCATCATTTCAAATATAGTATGTATGTACATACATATATTCGTAATTTGTAATATAATTTTGTTCGTATAATTCAGACTTTTTTGCTGGCCAATCCCACTTTCTTTTCAAGGCATTCGGATTTGACATTTTACATTATATGTACATATGTATGTATGTACATACATATGTATTAACCACGCTCATGAAAAACAAAACCAAAGCAAAGAAAAGCATACCAGAAAATAAAATAAAAACAAAAACCATAGCAATATTTCAAGTTAAAGGCATTTTTTGTCAGTTCACTTCGGTTTGGTTTTTTCTGCTATTTCGAATTGTGGGAGCGAGCACCTTTCACTTTACCAACGGCGAATGATGCAGCATGGGCATAAAAATTGAAAAGAAATAAAGACTCGGCTAAAAATGCTGTGCACAACACAAGGAAAGCGATATACGAGTATGTAGATGTATCTGTGTATACACCATACATAACATAATGATCGTCTCCCACTCCGGCACATCGGCACACCGACACACATACAGCTGCATTTTTGTAAATGTGAAAGGTTTTTGCTTGCTGCAACATTATTTAATCAATCCATTTTGTGGAGCAGGCAAAAAAGAGGTAAACTCGAAAAAAGGCATGGGCAAAACCATCAAAAGAAAGAAAAAATGGAGATAGGGAGATACGCCAAGAGAAAGAGTGAAGAAACGAAAAGAAAAAAATATAACCAGTTTAATTATTTTATGAATTGTATCTTTGTTACTCTTGTTCACCCTTTTTCACCTGATGGAGAAAGATAGAGAGAGAGAGAGATAGACGATGATGAGGATGCGGGGACCTGAAGGCTGTAAATTTAAATAAATTTGTATAATGAGCAGACCAACCAGGGACCCGGCAACACATACTCACACACATATGAATGTACATACATACATATATACACAAAAACATTTCTATGTTAATTTAATGCCGTAAGATAAAGAAAACCCCTCGGGCGACTATTTTGATTTTAATTATTTTTATTGTTTTCAAAGTGGTTTGCTTGATTGGGTTACAAAATAAATGAAAAGTTCTCAAAGAACCCTTGTGGTTGCTCGAACTCGCAAGGGAATGCAACAGGTTTGCGCTTCACGAGTATCGACTTTGAAATGGGGTCAATCCATTGCATTTCGAAGACAGACTCCGAATCGGACTACGACTCTGGCTCCATCTCCGCTAGCTGGTTAAGCAATCGATTGCCCCCAAGTCAGGCTTAGGTGCTTAAGCGGTTTTTGTGGTTTGAGAGCTTGAGAGCAGCATTTGAAGCATCCAGCACCAGGAACACATCAAGCGGCTTTCCACTTGAGAAGGTGCCCTTAGCCAATTCACCGGGCAACGGCGCTTTCATTGAAAACACAAATCAGAGAGGCAGCAAGGGAGAGAGAAATAAAACCCCACCTGAAACGTGCAACAAATGATGCTCTCCCTCTCCGCAGCTCTCATCCTACAGCAACACACAAAAGAAGTAGCAAATGCCTGCGAGCACTTTTGCCGTCTTTTTCTGTTGGCTTTCTTTCTTTCATCATCACCATCGCCATCATCCACAGCTACAGCCAAGACAACAGCTACATGGCTCGGACACAAATACATACTGGATATGTTACACACGCGCATACCTGTGGTATGTGTATGTGTGTGTGTTTCCCGTTTTGGTAGCATTTTTCAAGAATTGCTAATTCCCGAGGTTCGTTGAACTCATCATAAGACAGACACACTCGCTTAGCTTACGCCGCCTGTGTATGCATGTATGTAGATACATACATATGTGCCCGGTGCTGCTTGCTGATTCTTGGCCTGATGTACGGAGACGGCTAAAATGCGGAGAAAGCACTTGTGTACTTATGTTGAAGTGCACTGTCCAACGGAACGAGCCGAAAAGTGCGAGGGCAAGCCCATTAGTATTTGAATTTAATGAATCGATAAATTTATGTAAGAGCGAAGCTCGATCACAAATCAAATTTGACCCAATGGGCCATCATCTTCTAGAGATACCGTATAGTCTTCATACCACCCTCGCACACACATGCAAACTTCGATATATGTACATATGTATATGTACACTGAAGTGTGTATGCATGCTTAAAAATGCACGCGTGCAAGCGGTAATCAATGTTTTAGTACATACATACATATATATGCATGTACACATGCACATGCAGTTAGTGGTAAGCCTGAAAAGAAGACCCACAGAAAAGGAGAGACCAGAGAAATGGTAAAGAATCTCATACCTTTCCACAGACACACACGATGTAGACATTCCCTTTTTTATGGCCAAAACTGGATTGTATTCGATTCCATTTGAGCATGAGTTGGTGGCTTAGAACATGAACGTGAACGAGGGGTAACGCTTAATGACGCGCCGAGCGTGGCAGCAAATTTTTGTATACAAATGTGCGTTTCAAGTATAATTACATGCAATTCTTTATAAAGCATATAGGACACATACATACGTATGTGCATATGTAAGTAATGCCACAGAATGCCGATTTTAAATGGGTCAACAATTTATGGCATGGACATAGATTGGTTGGGGACAAGACAATTAAGTAAATTCAGTACAAAACCAAATCTGGCACATTGGGGATTACATCATCTGGCTGGAAATAAATTTAATCCAAATTTATTCTGGATGGTTGTTTTTAGTTCCACCCATAGAAAAAGGCGGAGAACTCGTTCCCAACATCAACAGCGGAGTTATTTGTTGCACTTTGAGTGATTTTCAAGGTTGATTTTGTGCTCCTCACTTAACTTTGAATCCGTTTGCCATAATTTACTCTCCTCTTACGATTCACACATTATTTAATTACAAAGAAGAGGAAAAAAAATTAAATTGCAAGCTGCGCGAACTCCATTAAGAATTAAAAATGACGCCAGCAGCCGTTGAGCTCATTGGTATGGTATGTCCTTTATGCAGGCTGTCCGATAGACACACCGTGTGCTATCGACATGTCCTTTGTGAAGGCGCTACTTTTTGAAAAGTAATTCAAATGCAAACCAATCGAAATGGGAATTTGCAAGTTCCATAAAATATTGACCCAACCATTGATAAGGGCAAAAAGCAACAAGCATTTCAAGGGTACGCTGGAATCGCTGAGCGTTGTCGACGGTAAAATGTCTTCTGATAAGATTGACAACAAAAATATATACTGCATAGCCCATAGCCGCCTCATGCCATAGAAAAGGCCACATTCAAGTCAGATCTGCCGAGAATGTATTTTTCAAATAAGTAGTATACTTACATACATACATACATACATACATACATATGTATATACTATATGATACGAGTATGTATATTTTCAGAGCTATCTGCATCGCTCGTGTACTGCTGCGTTTTGGGGGTTTCGTGCGATTTTGCTATAGGTCGTCTGTACTATGTATGAAGTTGAGTTGTACTTTTGTTTTTTATATATAATTCGGAAATTATATAAGCGTGCTATCGCCGTGCAACACGACTATGAATGACTTTTGCACATTTACTAATTGCCAACCCAACCATTTGTGTGCTTGTGCTTTTACAGGAATCCTTGAAAATTGGCAGCGATCACGATATGCACGACTGGCTGTTCGATCGTGATGTCAAAGATCCCACCGTTATACTCAATGACAAGCTCATCTCGGATGCGCTGCTCAATGGTACGCTGCCTATCAAAACCGAGCATTCCTATAGCCTTAATAGCGATGTTGATTCCCTGCCAGATTCCCCAAAAAGTCGGCAGGCCAAAATCGAGGGTAAGTATTCGCTGATAATTAATAGTGGTCGATTGCTGGTGACTTACGGTACATTTGCATAACATATTGCATAGAGACGAGTGTGCTTATGCGTATTCTGCCAGAAAGGCCCAAAAAGCAATCCAAACACAGCTTTCAGTTGGTTTATTTAGGCCATGTACATACACACATACTGAAAACAGCAACCATCAGAACTGCGTTGACAAGAATAACAGTGGAAAACAGTTTCTGTTCTGTTTGGTGCTGTTCGGTGTATTTTATTTTTTGTATTTAGTGTTGCGGTAGCATTTAACAATTTAACGCAGTACTCGGGCATGAAGTTCTGTACTTTGACGCGATACGAATATCAGTGGTACGGAGAGTACAGTTGCTGTGTGTGTGTTTCTATACGAGTAATGAGAGTAATGAGTATGAGAGCAAACTGTGTATAATTGCTGTTGACTGCGGTCTGGTCTGGGCTTCTTTTTTCGAGCTATTATCTGTAATTTTATAGAAACTGAACTGTACAACAGCTGTCTAAATAAAATTAAAACGAACTAAATTCGTGTGTGGAGCTGGAAAGAAAGTTTTGGCCAGAAAACAGAAAAAACTGAAATAACAATATTTAAAATACAAACACATGTGGGCATTGCGGGCCGACACGACGCGTGCCCCGGCCTGCCTTTTTCTCTAAAAGAAACGAACCGATGTTTGAATAGTTACAGAATATTATTATTTAAAATGTTGCACAATATTTGTGAAATCGTGGAGTACAAAACAAACAGTACTCTAGATCTCTAGAGTCTAGAGACGTATGTACAATATGTAGGTTAGACTAGACTCAACAATATTTACCCAACATATTTGCACACATACTCGTAGATCTGTTTCAATTGAGCGAAATCAGCCAAAAGGAACAAACAGCTACATGTGGACCAACTGTGACATAGTTAAAGCTGAAAACTATTTTGGGAAAATAACAGCAGCCATAAATCCGATTTAACCCGGGATAATCCCATGTAGCAGCTTGATTTAACTCGAACGTTTCTTCTTACCTGACCCACAGACATGGATGACGAATGTTTCCCCGCCATTTCACTGAAGTCGGCCACCTGTGTTGCGGCCACCATCGATCCCAAATGCCTGACCCTTCATCCGCAGTCGCACACACCCGCCACACACAGCAGCCGCGTAAGCTGCAGTCCCGCCCTGAGTACAGAGCTGAGCACAGCAGCGACTTTGACACGGGCCGGCCTCCAGACGCACGAACATCACTTGCAGACCGGGAGTAACAGTAACAGCTCCAGCCACGTGGTCGCCACTATGGAACACTATCAACTACCTCACTTTTACGACAATGACTGCAGCTCGTCGTTGTCGTCGATTCGGGATGGCAGCATATCCCCGGACATATGCTCGGACATTGAGATCGACGAGTCGGCAATCAAGGATGAGCCCATGTCGCCCGACTCCAGCTGCCCCGCCAGTCCCAACTCGCAGGCGAGCAGCTCCCAGCATCACCAGCTGAGCCTCAATCTGGCCCATTTACAGACGGAAATGCTCTTTGAGCAGAAGGTAGGCTATTCCTATAAAAACGAGGGAATCGACAATCGACTGTAAATTGTATTTGTGTTTTACCCCCTGAATAGCACGGCAGCCTCTTGCTGACCAGCAGCAGCAACAATCACCTCATTAAGTCCCAGCAGAGACAGCACCAGCACACGCTTCTTGGAAAGGGCGATTTGATAATGGGCCAAATGGAGATCAAGAGTGAGAAACAAAACACCAGCAACAGCAGCACCACGAGCAGCAGCAGCTCGGGCAAGTCACATGCCTACGGCATTCCCCTGACGCCGCCATCATCACTGCCCAGCGACGATTCCGAAGGTAACTTGACACCGGAACATTTGTTTTCGCCACTGTCGCCCAACGCTTCCGTTTCTATATCCGTGGCCAATGCAGCCAATGGCGAGTCATCGACCATGGTGCGACGAAATGTTACCGGCATCACGCGCTCTGCCAACTGCGGCGGTTCCGGCTCCAGCTCCAGCAACAGCACCACCACAACAAGGCAGCCCATACATACGCCGCTAATAAGCTCCCAGCCGGTAAGTTCGTCATGCTTACACTGCAAAAAAAACTAATAAAATCCTTTGACTTATAGAAGGGCTCTACAGGCACGCTGCTACTGACAGAGGAGGAGAAACGCACCTTGCTGGCCGAAGGGTATCCCATACCGCAGAAGCTCCCTCTAACAAAAGCCGAAGAAAAATCGCTCAAGAAGATCCGACGAAAAATTAAAAATAAAGTAAGAAAGTACTATATTGGAAAATGCTGGAAAAAAGCTTCTGTGAGGTAGAACGGAACTCTAATGTGAATTCTGATTCCCTTTCATAGATCTCTGCTCAGGAAAGTCGTCGCAAAAAGAAGGAGTATATGGACCAGCTGGAGAGGCGCGTGGAAATTCTTGTCACTGAAAATCACGACTACAAGAAGCGCCTCGAGACGCTGGAGGAGACCAATGCCAACCTACTTAGTCAGCTGCACAAATTGCAGGCCCTAGTTAGCAAGCACAATGTGAAAAAGTCCTAAGCCAGGCACCCAGGACGTGTGCCGGTTCCGTTTCTTGTTTGCCCGCCTTCCCTAAATACCTATACCTATAACTACATATAAATGTATATATAGATATCTATACATATTTTTATTTTTTGTTCCGTCTATTATTTGAGTTTTGTGTGAGAGTTTTGATGAATTTATGTAGGAATTTTTGTCCGGCTTATTGATAACACAAAGCGGAATAAATATCCTCTTCCTTCCTACTCTTATTGCTACTCTGACACCCATACATATTTTAAAAAATTTTGCACCCAGATGCCTATAATTAAAACCATACAATTTGAATGTATGGATGTATGCCCTAGCTACTTTTAGAACGTTTCTTATACATAGATATGTATATTAGTCATGCATTCCTGTTATATAAACTTTATAGGCACATACCAACTCCAACTACAACCACAACAGAAAGATCGACAAGCTCAAACAGCAGAAGCCAATTCAAAAAAGCATCATAAAAGAAGCTATGTAACTAACAATATTTTACTCGTAAATAAACGAAATCAACAGACCAAAAAACAAAAATGCAAAGAAGAAAAGCTAAGAAAATCGGATATGGCATGCTTAGGTGTTGGCTCTGTTCGATCTGATCTGATATAATATAACTTTATCTACATAAGAGCAGCGATATACATATGCATACATTATGTTTTAGTAATGATTGAATGAATGAACGAAAGACTCTCGGAGTCGCATCTCTGCACTGTCTTTGGCATGACCCTTGTTCCTTTAAATGTCATTTCTCAAGAAAACAAATGATAAGAAAGTATATATACCTAAACAATTCCATAATGGAGCTAGATAGAATGATTTCACAACGAACTACATTTATCGATATGCAGAACTTTAGTGGTTTTTTTTCATATTTTTACCGCCAGCAACCGCAAAGAAGCGCACCAAAATGTTGAAAGAATCTTGAATTGGTACTCTGTCACGTTGTCTGGCCAAGTAACAAAATTTCCGAGCCAATTATGAAAAAAGAATTTTTGTTTGTTAAGTTTAATATTATAAGACCTCAAAGTCCGAGGGCAGCCCAATGTAATCGATTCACAAAAAGTTTTTATTTTTAAACGAATACATTTGAATTTGACTTTTTAGTGCAATTTTTTGGCATAAATAGTAATGCAGATGAAAAAAAAATGAGTCATTCTAGTTTAAATTAGTTGAATTTATCTAAAAAATACTTAAGCAAAGTTTTAAGCGTAAACCGATGATTTCTTATTAAATCGATAATACGAGTACTATATATCCAAAATATTTTAGATCTTTTAATGTATGTTTTTTTATTTGTGTGTAAACCAAGCGGAGTTGTGCAATTGTTAGTAAAATTAAACAACAAAGAAAAACCTTATAGAAAAATATGAAGACACTGTCAAAATTGACAAATGAAAAGCTTGTGCAATGAAAAACTTTACCTTAAAATTCGTTAAAAAAAAAAATAATAATAAAATATGATAGCAATCCATTTGGAAAAATAAAAGCGTTTTGGGGATGTTTATACACAAAAGAAAAGCAGTTTTAACGCATATTGTAAATTTAAATTTAAAACGGATTCAAACGAAAAATAGAAAATATACACAAAAAAATTGTAAAACTTTTTTAAGATGCTGTGTTTTGGAATAAGCAAATGCAATTCAAAGTAAGTCGCAAACAACCATTAAAACAGCGAAAATGCGAAACTCATTTTGATTGTTGAATATTTTACTTATTTGTCCTGGAACTCCGGCGGAACGGGCTCTGCCATTTAGATCAAAATCTGTAAAAAACTAATTTTGTATGCAAAGAATAGCATTTTGGCATTTATATTGTCGTACAAAAAGCGGACGAATGTCCTTCCAAAGGTAAGCGATTTTACAGAGACATTTATACCTTTGGCAAATGTTAGGAACGACTAAGGAAAATTGCGAGTCTCTGGCTCCGGCTTCGAAGAGTAATCGCGAGACCTCGAACGTGTGGCAGCATTTAAAAAAACCGCCGATAATAACAAGGGTGTATGCATTTACTGAGGCAAAGAGACAGGTGGAACACTACAAACTTGTGGGATCATGTACAGAGAATTCATCCAAGTACCTCTACGTACCGGCAACATCGTGCGAATCCGGAAGGTCTTTCAGCAAGGCTGGACAGATCATATCGGACCGTCGCACCAGGCTTAAAGTTGATGTCGTAGATAAACTTATGTTAAGAACCAAAGCATTTTCTGTTAATGCTCTCTGCACACTGAGTCCATCCCGGGGGAATGGTGGGAATTTTTGAAAGAATTTTTTTTGAACACCGATTCACATTGACTCCATTCACCATCCACCATCCATGAGAAAACAGCTGATGCTCACAATTGCGTGAGGTGAAAATTTGTTCACATCTATAATTTCAATGAATATAAATAACATTGCAATGGTTGTGAATGTGATTCAGCAGCAAAACATATTCTTGCACAAGCGAATCATGTTTCTGGACTTGGATGATCATAATGCGGCTATATGTAGGAGTGTATATCTGTTTTGAAAACACTGAAGCGTGGTCATTTCAGACTGCTTCTACTAAATCCAATCAATGTTTTAAATACAAATACATATTCTATGTTTTCTGAGAAGCGGTTTGGGACAACGAGGCAAAAACGAGTCGTTTTCTAAGGAAAAATTTCTATAGGTCTAATATTGTATCCTTTGGGCTCTTTTTCTGAGTACAGTAGAGTCGGAAGGCTGTCAGCCAAAAGCGAGTACAATTCTGACATATCAGATGTTATTTTGTTGTTTTTTACCATTTTCCTATCTGTCATTATTTACAATTTCGTAGTGAATTCCGATTTTTTCTTGTGAATGTGAAATATTTATGGTTGCATTTGCTCAGATCAACAAAAAAAAGGTCGGTATGTACTGGAAAAGTATCCGAAGTATTTGCTTGTTTTTTTGGTATGTTTAAACCTACCTAGAAAGTTAAGCCTAGTACTCAGATCCAAAAACTGTTTGCCAGCAAACAAATGTCATATATTCTTCGAGCAGCCAGTGTGTGACCAGAGGTGTGCACTGCATTCCGAACGGTTACACTGCTCAGACCTAAGCTTTCTGAGCTTATAATTATTTTAGCCGTTTTTTCGAATCTAGCTTATTTTCGCAAACAATTCTGGCAGCACTAAGTGTGACCGTATCAAGAAACTTCTGCGTATATTAAATTCATAGTGCAACAATTCGTCAATAGTTTGAAATAATCTATTTGCGTTCAAACGCATCAGAAAGAACGCATCATGGGAAAGAAAAACAGTGAGATTAATACAAAATTGTTTTATTTAAGTAACTAACATGGTCAATTGCATTCGATTGCAATTATAGAATATAAGGAGTCTGCGAAGCCAGAGGCTGCACCACATCAACCACAACAAAAAGGTATGTGAAATGCACTACAAAGACACGTGAACTTATGAGAAAAATCTAGCATCTTCTGTATATGTTGTTTGTATGTATGTGCATAACTTTCGTTTTTGTCGATAAGCTTTTTAAATACATACAAACAAATCTAAAGCAGCGTTATTAGATCGTCTGCAGTATCGGGGGAATCACAAAATTCGCAGAGCCTCTGATGAAATCAATTGGGTGTGGATTGACAAACATACATATGTACATATGCACGAAATATGGATCGCCATTTTTTTAGAAGTTTTATTAAACAATTTTTTTTTTCACTAAAATAATCAACAGATGCTGGTACGTCGGGTGCCCAAACCGCTGGAGTCACGTCCACTCCCACTCCATCCACAAGCTCCGCCGCTTCTGGCTCTCAACAACAGCAGGGAGGATGGCAAAAACAGGACGGAAACCAGCAGCGTCCTCAGTCCGGCCAAGGTTGGGGCGGTCAACAGAGGGGATCGCAACAGCAACCAGGCGGACACCAACAAGCACAAGGGCAATACCGTGGTCCGACACAACAATCCCAATCCCAAGGTCAGTTCCAAAGGGGATCGCAACAGCAACCAGGCGGACACCAACAAGCACAAGGGCAATACCGTGGTCCGACACAACAATCCCAATCCCAAGGTCAGTTCCAAAGGGGATCGCAACAGCAACCAGGCGGACACCAACAAGCACAAGGGCAATACCGTGGTCCGTCACAACAACAGGGTGGCAATCAGTCACGTCCTCAGGGTCAGCAAGGACAGTTCCAAAGAGCCCAAGGAAGCGCGTCTCTGCCACCTCTTCCAGCAGGCACCATGAAGCGTGGAACTTTGGGGAAACCAGGACAAGTATCTGTCAATTATCTCGACGTTAACTTGGATAAAATGCCAGCGGTGGCCTATCACTACGACGTGAAGATCACGCCAGAGCGCCCTAAGAAGTTCTATCGTCACGCCTTTGAGCAGTATAGAATTGAGCATTTGGGCGGTGCGATTGCCGCATATGATGGACGTGCATCGTGCTACTCAGTTGTGAAACTAGAATGCAGCTCCCAGGGCCATGAAGTAAAAGTAAGTGTTGTATATTTCGCTGAGTTCGATTTACTTTGAATGAAACCTTGCTTTCTTGTCGTCCAGGTAACAGATCGCCATGGGCGTACATTGAAATACACCCTAGAAATAAAGGAAACAGAGGACTCGGAAGTTGATTTGAACTCACTGAGAAGGTATATGAACCGTGACATTCTGTTCAATAGAATGTGTCGGCAGAGAATCGGCAATTCTAACATTCCATTTTTGCAGCTACATGAAGGATAAGATTTATGACAAGCCCATGCGAGCCTTGCAGTGTCTGGAGGTTGTGTTGGCGGCCCCCTGTCATAACAGTGCTATACGCGCCGGCCGCTCTTTCTTCAAAAGGTCTGATCCCGGAAATGCTTGTAATCTTGGCGACGGCTACGAAGCTCTGGTTGGACTCTATCAAACTTTCGTGCTTGGCGATCGTCCGTTTGTCAATGTGGATATATCCCACAAGTCCTTTCCGATGGCCATGTCGATCATTGACTATATAGAGCGGTATCAGCGGCAGAGAATTGATAAGAGCACAAATCTTGACTACAAGCGTTATGATATCGAATCATTCCTAAAGGGAATTAATATAATTTACGAGCCGCCTGCCTGTTTTGGCAGCGCTCCTCGCGTCTTCAAAGTCAACGGGCTTTCCAAGGTTTCAGCAAGCTCACAGATATTTGATCTGGATGGGAAAAAAAACGACCGTTGCAGAGTACTACAAATCTCGGGAATATAATTTAAAGTTTCCAAACCTTCTATGCTTGCATGTTGGTCCGCCGTTGAAATACATTTATTTGCCTATCGAACTATGTCGCATTGAGGATGGTCAGCCCCTGAATGTGAGTTCAATAGCTCTTACGCAGCGACTTCCGTTAATTCCAAATAATTTCCTCCTTTTATTTATTTATCTCATATCGCAGCGCAAGGATTCTGCAAATCAGGTGGCGGCCATGATTAGGTATGCTGCCACATCCACCAACGAGAGGAAGGCCAAGATCATCCACTTGCTTGAATATTTCAAGCACAATTTAGATCCGACCATCAGTCGCTTTGGTATTCGCCTGGACAACGACTTCATTGTGGTTCATACACGTACCCTCAATGCACCTCAGGTGGAGTACAAAAACAATTCGACTTCGGTGAGGAACGGTTCGTGGCGCATGGATCGCATGCAATTCCTTGATCCCAAGCCGAAGCCACACAAATGGGCCATACTTTACGGTAAGATGCAGTACAATCAGGTGGCCGATTTTCAAGAAATGGTAAGTTGTGCATAGCTGGAAGCAGAATTACAGACAAATCCTAACTAATTTTCTTCCCAGGTTATTCGTCAGAGTCGCATCGTCAATGTTTGCCTTGATGCAAAGGCCGAGATTCGGATGTACAAGGATGAACGTGACCTAGATGCTCATTTCCAGGATTTCAAACGAAATCAATATGATTTGGTGTTCGTTATTATACCGAATTTCGGGGCCTTCTATGATACCGTGAAGCAAAAGGCTGAGCTGCAGTATGGCATTCTCACACAATGCATCAAGCAGATCACAGTCGAACGTAAATTGAACACGCAGTGTATTGGCAACGTTCTACTTAAGGTCAATTCAAAGCTGAACGGCATCAATCACAAGCTAAAGGACGATCCTCGCACTGTGATAAAGAATGCTATGTTTTTGGGCGCCGATGTGACTCATCCATCGCCCGATCAGCGAGAAATCCCCAGTGTTGTGGGAGTGGCCGCCTCCCATGATCCATATGGGGCTTCATATAATATGCAATATCGCTTGCAACGCTCTGCCTGGAGGAGATCGAGGACATGGAGTCGATAACCCTTGAGCACTTGCGTGTTTATCATCAGTTCCGGAAATGTTATCCCGAGCACATTGTCTATTATCGTGATGGTGTCAGCGATGGTCAGTTCCCCAAGATCAGAAATGAAGAGCTGAGGGGTATTTCTGCGGCCTGCTGCAAGGTAATTTTGAGCTCTTTCAGTGAGAAACCCATTTTCTATTGCATTCGGGTTTCCGCCTCCTTTCAGATGCACATTAAGCCCAAGATTTGCTGCGTGATTGTGGTTAAACGGCATCATACCCGCTTCTTTCCAAACGGAGGTCCTTCGCAATTTAACAAGTTTAACAATGTTGATCCAGGAACCGTCGTCGATCGAACCATTGTCCATCCCAATGAGATGCAGTTCTTTATGGTCAGCCATCAGTCCATTCAGGGGACGGCCAAGCCGACGCGTTACAATGTAATTGAGAATACTGGCAACTTAGATATTGATCTACTGCAGCAATTGACATACAATCTTTGTCACATGTTTCCACGATGCAACCGCGCAGTGTCTTATCCGGCTCCGGCATATTTGGCTCATTTGGCTGCGGCACGTGGCCGTGTCTATCTGACTGGGTGCGATATTAATGTTGTTAAATATATTCGTTCTGAGATTATATATATCTTGACTGATTTTCTTGCAGCGCCACCAAGTTCCGTTCTCCCCAAGAGGAGTACGCAAAGCGTTTGATTGTTCCAGAGTTCATGAAGAGAAATCCCATGTACTTCGTTTAGGCAGAAAAGTAAACACAGTTACTCTTTTGCCAATAAGAACTAAATTCAAATATGATTATTCTTTATCAATTTTATATTTTATCACATTTCTTGAACCATAATCGTATATATCATATGTTGAGGGGCATACTCTACTGCATTCATTAGTAGCATCGAAGTGAAGTGACATCTTTAGTGGCTCAAACAGAATATGGAAATTCTTTTAAATTACTAAAGACATATTATTGTAGCTACAAATGGAACCAGTTTAGAGGAGCCCTTATATTGGGCATATTATACAATTTTAAATAATAATAATAATAAAATTAATCAACTTTCTATGCTGACACGTAAAGATTTCTTAGTTTAAAGTTTGTTTATCGCGTTACATGGCGTCGAAATGGAATCTATGAGACTCTTGCAAGCGCTCCTGTTTATCCTCACGCTTTTCTTTGATGTACAGCACCAATATGATAAGGATAATGACCAGGCAAGTGCCTCCAAGTGCCACAACACTCATCAGGATCAATTTGCTGGGGGTCACGAACAGCTGAGCCTTCCAGTGCGATGGAACGACGAAATGTTACCGGCATCACGCGCTCTGCCAACTGCGGCGGTTCCGGCTCCAGCTCCAGCAACAGCACCACCACAACAAGGCAGCCCATACATACGCCGCTAATAAGCTCCCAGCCGGTAAGTTCGTCATGCTTACACTACCCTGCAAAAAAAACTAATAAAATCCTTTGACTTATAGAAGGGCTCTACAGGCACGCTGCTACTGACAGAGGAGGAGAAACGCACCTTGCTGGCCGAAGGGTATCCCATACCGCAGAAGCTCCCTCTAACAAAAGCCGAAGAAAAATCGCGCAAGAAGATCCGACGAAAAATTAAAAATAAAGTAAGAAAGTACTATATTGGAAAATGCTGGAAAAAAGCTTCTGTGATGTAGAACGGAACTCTAATGTGAATTCTGATTCCCTTTCATAGATCTCTGCTCAGGAAAGTCGTCGCAAAAAGAAGGAGTATATGGACCAGCTGGAGAGGCGCGTGGAAATTCTTGTCACTGAAAATCACGACTACAAGAAGCGCCTCGAGACGCTGGAGGAGACCAATGCCAACCTACTTAGTCAGCTGCACAAATTGCAGGCCCTAGTTAGCAAGCACAATGTGAAAAAGTCCTAAGCCAGGCACCCAGGACGTGTGCCGGTTCCGTTTCTTGTTTGCCCGCCTTCCCTAAATACCTATACCTATAACTACATATAAATGTATATATAGATATCTATACATATTTTTATTTTTTGTTCCGTCTATTATTTGAGTTTTGTGTGAGAGTTTTGATGAATTTATGTAGGAATTTTTGTCCGGCTTATTGATAACACAAAGCGGAATAAATATCCTCTTCCTTCCTACTCTTATTGCTACTCTGACACCCATACATATTTTAAAAAATTTTGCACCCAGATGCCTATAATTAAAACCATACAATTTGAATGTATGGATGTATGCCCTAGCTACTTTTAGAACGTTTCTTATACATAGATATGTATATTAGTCATGCATTCCTGTTATATAAACTTTATAGGCACATACCAACTCCAACTACAACCACAACAGAAAGATCGACAAGCTCAAACAGCAGAAGCCAATTCAAACGAGAAGGAACGTGTGAGCCGTTTCTGGGGACGCGACTCTACTTATACCCGTACTCAGTCAGTAAATACATTTTTGAGCTTATGATTTTATAGATTTAAAAAAAAAAAAAAAATTTTACATTTTACATTTTTTTGCTACATCTGATATCTACATCTACATATACAATGTCTATTCTACATCTAACATGTAGATTGTACATGTTCCATTCATATTCTACATCTCCTCCGCTAGGGGTTGCTCGCGCACTGAACGAGGCAGAGTGTGAGAAGGAAAATGAGTTGCGTTGTTGTTTGATGGAGTGGGGACAGGGGAAGCAACTGAAAATTAATTTCTTCATTCTGGCTATAATTATGATCCGATCTGATTCAGATTTGGCAATCTGGTAGATATGGGCAATCTCTACGATACTGCGTTTTTAGTTTTATCGTATCTTTAAAACTGTGCCTGCCACAGATTTTCGTCCTTTGTGTGGGCGGAAGGGGGCGGGGCGAAATTTTGAAATACACTTGTAGCAGTGTGATATCACATGAGTCTGGAAACCAAATTTGGTTTCTCTAGCTCTTATAGTCTCTGAGATCCAGGCGCTCATCAAGACGGACGGACGGACAGACGGACAGACGGACATGGCTATATCGACTCGGCTATTGATGCTGATCAATAATATATATACTTTATGGAGTCGGAAACGTTTTCTTCTCTGCGTTGCACACATCCACTTTTACCACAAATCTAATATACCCCTTAACTCTTTTTTGAGTACGGGTATAATAAAAAGCATCATAAGAAAAGCTATGTAACTAACAATATTTTACTCGTAAATAAACGAAATCAACAGACCAAAAAACAAAAATGCAAAGAAGAAAGCTAACAAAATCGGATATGGCATGCTTAGGTGTGGGCTCTGTTCGATCTGATCTGATATAATATAACTTTATCTACATAAGAGCAGCGATATACATATGCATACATTATGTTTTAGTAATGATTGAATGAATGAACGAAAGACTCTCGGAGTCGCATCTCTGCACTGTCTTTGGCATGACCCTTGTTCCTTTAAATGTCATTTCTCAAGAAAACAAATGATAAGAAAGTATATATACCTAAATAATTCCATAATGGAGCTAGATAGAATGATTTCACAACGAACTACATTTATCGATATGCAGAACTTTAGTGGTTTTTTATACCCGTACTCAAAAAAGAGTTAAGGGGTATATTAGATTTGTGGTAAAAGTGGATGTGTGTAACGCAGAGAAGGAAAATTTTCCGACCCCATAAAGTATATATATTCTTGATCAGCATCAATAGCCGAGTCGTTATAGCCATGTCTGTCTGTCCGTCCGTCCGTCCGTCCGTCTGTCCGTCTGTCCGTCTCGATGAGCGCCTGGATCTCAGAGACTATAAGAGCTAGCGAAACCAAATTTGGTTTCCAGACTTATGTGATATCACACTGCTACAAGTGTATTTCAGAATTTCGCCCCGCCCCCTTCCGCCCCCACAAAGGACGAAAATCTGTGGCAGGCACAATTTTAAAGATACGATAAAACTAAAAACGCAGTATCGTAGAGAATGCCCATATCTACCAGATTGCCAAATATGAACTAGATCGGATCATAATTATAGCCAGAATGAAGAAATTAATTTTCAGTTGCTTCCCCTCCCCCTCCCACCCACGACAACGCATCTCATTTTCCTTCTCGTTCGCACATTCTGCCGCGTTCAGTGCGCGACCAACCCTTAGCGGAGGAGATGTAGAATCTAATTGGAACATGTACAATCTACATGTTAGATGTAGAATATACATTGTATTTGTAGATGTAGATATCATATGTAGCAAAAAAATGTAAAATGTAAAATTTTTTTTTCTAAAATTCTTAAAAATCATAAGCTCAAAAATGTATATACTGACTGAGTACGGGTATAAGTAGAGTCGCGTCCCCAGAAGCGACTCACACGTTCCTTCTCGTTTTTCATATTTTTACCGCCAGCAACCCCAAAGAAGCGCACCAAAATGTAGAAAGAATCTTGAATTGGTACTCTGTCACGTTGTCTGGCCAAATAACAAAATTTCCGAGCCAATTATGAAAAAAGAATTTTTGTTTGTTAAGTTTAATATAAGACCTCAAACATGAACCTTCTTCATTGCTGTGAGGTTTCAAAGTCCTTGAGGATCGAGGTGTTTTTCGCGAAGGCAAGAAGTTCCCCTGGTGTCCTTCTAGAGGCATCTTCCAGTGATGCCATCACCGTGTTACCCAGGTATTTTCTTCTTGCCCTTGATAGCGCCGGGCAGTTGCATATGAGGTGTTCTAGGGTTTCGATAGCCCCTTCTTCATCGCATTTTCTGCAGTTACCACTGTTGGTGATGCCTAGTTTAACTGCGTGTGCTGCAGTTAGACAGTGTCCTGTGAGTATTCCCACTAGCATTCTGCAGTCCTTCCGTGGAAGGTGCAGTAAGTAGTGGCTAAGTTTACCATTGCGCTCCTTTCACATGGTTCTAAGGGAGACAGGCACGTTCTCGGTTCTGTCAATGGCCAACCCGACGCCTTCCTTAGCCAGTACATCCGCTGTCTCGTTACCTTTGATGCCCTGGTGGCTGGGTACCCAATAGATCCGCACTGACTTTGTCGTGCTTAGGTAGTCTAATGCTTCCCTGCTCGCCAGGACGTTTCCGGAACTGACCGCTGACGACTGCATGGATCTTATCGCCGCCTGGCTGTCCACGAACAGGTTTACCACGCCGTGTGAACGATCGATGGACTGAGCCGCCTCTGCCGCTTTCCGTATGGCGTAGACTTTCGCCTGGAATATGCTGCATTGGCCCGGTAGCTTATAAGACAGCCTTATCTCAGGGTCTGTACAGTATATGCCCGCTCCTACTCCTCCTTCCCTCTTGGAGCCGTCGGTGTAAATGTTGAGGTGTTGAGTCTGGTCCCGACCCCTTTTCCAGTAGTCGGGTCCCATAAATGAGGTTGTGTTTACGTCCAGGCAGGTTTGGGGGATCATGTAGTCAGATATACTGGTCATGTCTCGGCCAATTGAACTGTGCCCGAATCCCTGTAGAGACATGTTTCCTGATGCTACTAAGCGTTGTGCCGCCTTTCCTGCAATCAGTTGAGCGTGGATGTCCAGGGGGTCGATTCCGATTATGGTTTCGAGTGCTTTTGTTGGAGTTGACCTCAGCGCCCCCGTAATGCAAAGCAGCGCCTGCCGCTGGGTCCTTTCCATAAGCTTATTGTACGTCGTCTTTTCCGTCGCTTGCCACCACACTAAGACTCCATACAGCAGAGTCGGTCGCACCACCGAGATGTAGATCCAGTGCATTAGAGCAGGTGACAGGCCCCATGTACTGCTGAGCATCTTCTTGGATGCATATAGCGCAATGGTGGCCTTCTTCACCCTTTCCAAAACATTGGGTCTCCACGCCAGCTTGCTGTCCAGTACTATGCCGAGGTATTTGACTTGTGTTTTCGGGGTCAGCCTGGTTTTTTCACTTTTCGGGGGGATCCATGCCGGTACCTTGTATCTCATGGTAAAGAGGATGAGGTCCGTCTTGTCCGCTTTGATACTGAGTCCTACTTTTTCCGCCCACTCACATATCTTCCTGAGTGTTGATTCCATTATGGAGCTTAGAGTCGATGGACATACTCCCGTAATAATTATGCTTATGTCATCTGCATAAGCTGTTATTTTTGGG